CGCATCCACGAAAGGACTTTCAGTCTGACCAGTTTTGGCAAAAACGGCTGAAGCAGTAGCCATCCGAATGAAGAAACCGGAGCTATGAGTACAGAAGAAATATGTTCAGCCACTCCTCCTCCCCTGGCCAACATCAAGGCCAATTAATCAATCATAATCTTAACTATTGAATGACCCAATTTGACTATGACCTTTCGTAGTCAATTGTAATTGTCTCTGTTATCTTTATTCATAAATCTTTGTATTATTCGTATTATTACTCTTTATTATTATTATTATTATTATTATTATTATTATTATTATTATTATTATTATTATTATTCGTATTATTGGTTAAACATCATTAATCTCCCTATACATGATTCATTCACTTCGCATTCATCCCTCCGTATTACATCTTACTTATTTGATTGAATTGTAATTGCACTATTATTTCTGAGATGGTGGAGAAGATTTGTAGCTCAGGTGGATGATTTTAGTGGAGTTTCTTTCTCTGAGCTGGATGGTTTGGTCGTGGAGCTTTCATTGTTCTTCTGAACGACATCATCAGCACTTCTATCTGAAGTTTGTGCTGATGATGTCGTTCAGAAGAACGATGAAAGCTCCACGACCAAACCATCCAGCTCAGAGAACGAAACTACACCAAAAACTATTATTTCTCTCTCACCCTATTTGACCCATATTTATTCTGATCATGGATCTTAAAATTTCATTTAACATATACGCAGATTCAAGTTAACATTTTTTATATGAGTCATATTAACATTAACAATTTTATTGTATTTTGTTTATCACAATCCTAAATTCACATGCTCTAAACGATGTACTTTACCCTTAACTTGGCCATTTTTCGGATTAATAATTTGGATATATAATTGTAGAACCTGAAGAGAATTTATCGAAAAGAATATTCTTCGTTCAAATATTAGTCTTTTAATATCATTTGTGTTAATATTACCAGTCATTAGTCGCTCAAGTCTTTGTTCTACGTAATCTGGCGAGACTATAATTTATGGACGAACCATTCAGACTTATGATAACATGTCATGGATTTTGGTATGAAATTCATTCATCCATTTGGCTAAATAGCATTTTGACACTTAAGCTGAGGTCAGTTCGTGATGAAAACCCCAAGGCTAATTCCTAACCCTAACCATCAACACCAAATCATAATCATGAATCCTTATACTGGTTTATAACCCCCTAGTAAATGGGTGGACATTCTCAAGGTCACTTGAGCGTCGCTCAAAGGTCATTCATAAATTCTAGTCTCAACTTTATCATCATGAATTTCTCTACTCTTTCCTATTTGACAATAATTTTGAAATCGAATAAGAGTGTGGTGATACATAGAAACAATAAACGTTTTCTCACTGAAAAAATTTAGTCAGGTTCTAAGATGAATAGATTGTAATTTCTGACCATCATAAAGTCTAGATTTACAGTAGTAAAGCATTTTAAAATCCTGGTTTCCTATAAAACCATTTATTATTTCTCAAGACAGTATTTTTCTAGAGGTAGATTCTTTCATCACTTTGGTTTAAAGTGTGAAGGGAGACTCATGATATGCACAGTTTAATAATGTAAAATCATTTCTGAATTCAGATCAATTTTCTTTTCGACGAAATCAGTTACTTAAGCTATGCATTCTTATACATAGTTATATGGAAAATATATGTCTATAGGAGGATAGAAAAGATTGCATCCCGAAAATGGATTCGAGAATAAATAACAAATGAGGTTACGTACTAACTAATCAAGGGGTAAAGAAGAAAATAATTTATGGGTCAGATAATAGTTTTTTCGCTAAATTCTCTTTTTCTTATTTAATGATATCATGGGTTATTTTAATTATCAGATTAATTTAGCAAGTCAAAACAACTGAAGTTTTAAAATTATTTACCAATTTAAAGCCTATGAGTTAAAGAGATAAGTTACAGATCGATGGCTTTAGATATCAGATATCGCTAAGTCATTAAAATATAACACGACTTGCTTGAGTTATAATTTCATTTTTGTAATTTGGATACTTTTGAATATCTTAGCTACACACAGTTTTATCAAAAACCTTTACTTACATTGCAATAGGCGTGTCCAAAACTATCCCTGTCATATCATATAAAGGTGTGAGCCTGTGTATGTAAGCATGTGATTGGTTGTTTCAACAGTGTTGCTTTCTAATAGTTGATGAGGGGAAACATAAGCGTTTTTTTTTCCAGAATTTATATTAATCTTCCACTTTTTGGATTTTTATTAACTTCAACATATGCATTCATTTGAGTGGATTTTTTCTAATCATTATTGTTCAATGACCATTAAGACTATGTTAAGCATATCGACATATCCATTTACAAATTGTTTTTGTAATGAATTTTATACACACAGTACATTTGAAAAAGTTTGAAATATCAAATTTTTAATAAATTTAGAATTAACAGAATGGGGATTTGTAGAGATTGTAGTGATTTTAATAGTTGAATTCGTGAATCTTATAAATACTCTAAATATCCTTGCTCTGCCAGTACTCTTCATAGATACAAGAAGTAGTGGAACGTCACAATTGATTGATCACTGGGTGGTGATCAGTGTCATGCTTGTCTAGTCCTTATTAGTGCAGATCTAATGATATCGATCATGTTACAATTTGGCCAACAGTCTAGGTGACTCGACACTGCGGGCACTATGTATTGATATTTAGATGGTAGTTGGAGGTAGTCAACAGGAAACCCTGGACCCGGGTTTCGTGCTACTTGACACTCGTCAGCAAGGTGTACCTGTAATCTTGAGGGAACTCGTGCTCCCTGGCGGATTCGATCTCGTGTCACCCAGCTTCACAGTCAGAGACGTTACCACTATGCTATCCGAGCCGTGACTAACCTCCTATAGGACTGAGATGTAATCACGATTGATTGACCGATCTGCACTAATAAGGACTAGACAAGCATGACATTGATCACCACCCAGTGATCAATCAATTGTGATTACATCTCAGTCCTATAGGAGGTTAGTCACGGCTCGGATAGCATAGTGGTAACGTCTCTGACTGTGAAGCTGGGTGACACGAGATCGAATCCGCCAGGGAGCACGAGTTCCCTCAAGATTACAGGTACACCTTGCGGACGAGTGCCAAGTAGCACGAAACCCGGGTCCAGGGTTTCCTGTTGACTACCTCCAACTACCATCTAAAGTAGTGGAACGTAGATGCGCACTGCTGAGGAGTCTCATACTAGGACGTGATGGCTGTCCAGTGCTTTCAGGCTCTTAACGGTGGTCTAGCTTAGATCGACAAATGAATTCAACTTTTCGAATTCAGAACTCTTTAAATACTACCATTTCAAATGTTCAAGTGAACGCAGTGAAGAATTTAATCTTATACCGTCATCGAGGTTTGATGTGTTGAGTATTATTTACTGTTGTCATTTCCGAAGAGAACCTATCGTATTACAAAAGCTCAGTCGTTTTTGCTACTGAATCCATAACATCGTAGGTCGTACTGAACCCCGATAACAAAACACAACACATACTCAGCGCTAAGATAGTTATCCACTAACTACTCAGAATACAGTAGTTCTATTCTACTGAAGGTTTCACAGAATATAATAAGATTTATAAGAGATATATACTGAATTCAATTAATTTATTTTCTCAACATTGAATCAATGTGTACTAGCGAAAGGATTTCTCATATCCTGAAATATGTATAATATAATGAGTCGTGTTTGATACACCAAGATAAAATGTAGTCTAATTGATAACTGTTCACAAAAAGCAATCCAATGGGGAAAAACTTGCAAATGTACAGATATTATACTCAGCAAAACCCATACCTTTTGATCCAGTAGAATTCCAGTTTAGATATAAAATATTATTTTACTGAACTAGAGATAGATTCTGAAATGAGTATACTGCGCAGCAGTTCGTTCTGTTTTACTTTACGGCTGAGAAACGTAGAAGATATTCGCAAGTTACTAGTATTTGATCTCAGATATCTTAGAAATATTGCTCGCATCTGCTGGGATCACCGTGTGAGTAATAGTGGGGTTAAACTTAGGATATTAGGGAATGATGGTAAATCAGTTGATGAAGTTGTCAATCTACATCGACTGAAATGGTTGGGACATGTATTACCCAAGCCGAACTACGAACTAATTCTTTTTCCTTGTATTATATCTTTATATACAATCCTTTTTTAATTATCACTACCACTGAAGTAACTACTGCTATGAATTTGATGTTCATCTTGGTGTGCCAACTTGAACTGATTTATAAATGTGCTTGGTCCTACGTTGTAGCTAATTGGTGTTTTTATTAGATATTGACAGCTTGTTATTGAAGAAAATAGATGATAACGTGTATTTTGACTGGAGTAGAAATTCATGTGATACTTAGGTTACGAACTTAGTGAATGTAATAGATGCAATAAATAAACTCTTTTAAATTTTACAAAACGTCGTGAACGTTTCACGCAAGTCCTGAATTCTACTACTAGCCACCATCCATATTTGCTTATAATGTTTAGGATATTATATTTGTTATCCGAATGGATTGTTATTTTTTAATATAAAATTCATAAAAAGTACATACAATTGTTAACAATTTAATATTAAAAAATTGTGGGACCACGTAACCTACTCATTTTAAAATAGTTGACGTAGGTCTATTACAATAATCTGATGAAATCGATCTAATAATTAGATCATTTTAGGACATTTTTATCAGTAGTATCACTGGCGTCTTCAAAACAAAGTTATTAGGCTTAATATGCAATGGAAAGAAGTATATATTCGAATAATTATTTACAAGGAAGTTGGATTAGAACTAAAACCATAATTCATGTATCGATTCTGGTTAAATTAAGTGGAATTAATGAAACCGGCGAACATCCACCTAATTTGTATTACCATACGACTGTGTATGTGACTCATTTACCAAGGATAAGTTCACGTATTTAAAATTAAGTTGCATTGAAATTTTTAAGTTATTAATAAAAACATTGTTTTCTCAGATTTAGTTATATATTTCTTATACAATTGAAGGGTAGTAAATTTTGTACACAAAGGGAGAGTTAACTAACCAAAGAACTAGTTTACACAGATAGATATATAAATCGAGTACTGTACACATCTGGAAAACAGATTAATAACATAGAGCACTTAAAAATCTCATGTATTAGGTTCGATAATGAAAATTTACAAAAACGTTGGTTAGATTGACAACGGTATCAATTATTGAATATTCATAATAATAATAACATATAAATTCATAATAATGGGATATTCCCATAATCGGTTTAACATTAATGTTTTGTAACTTTGTTCATAAACATAGTTTACTTCTTGAACAAAATACAATCATATGGTCAATTGGTACACAGAAAAATAGATAGATAGATAGATGTTTATTTAATTCTTAAAAAGAGAACACACTAAATGCGTTGCGTTAGTTGTATCATCATCACTCCTACATATAATGATAATGTTAGTAGTATTAATACATACATAATATGTAATATTTTCATCTTGGAAAAAAACATAATCTGAGAACAGAATAAGATTTACTTCTTTAAGAAAAAATTCTCAAAACAAATAAATGAACAACCGAATGAGCAGATGGATGAAGATTGTAAAATAACAAAGAGAGAAGATTAGAAGAATTTCAAAAATCATAAAAATGAAAATAAAATCCACTATATTATACAACTTGCCTATAATTATATTCGGATATACACAGTGATTGTACGTCAACGGATTCCATTCAAAAACAAATAATAAGCATAACTAATCAATTAGCTAAAACTAGGACGTTTATTTGTACTGATAATTTGATTTCTGCTATGATGATTATGACTTGAAGTTCGTAATGTCTGTGTTTGAATGGAATCGACTCGACAAAAAATGGAAGAGGAAACTGAAGAAACACGATGTCGATTCTCAATAGATAGACTAGATGAAGATGAAGAAGATTGTTGATGATAATTCCTAGTGAATGGACGATCGTAAGAAAAATTTGATTTATTAATTGGAATATAGGTAACAGGGAGTTGTCGAGTGATTGCAATTGTTGTCGGCGTTGTTGTTGTTGTTGATAGATTAAATGATGAATATGGTTGCCTGAAACATTTAAAATATAAAAACTGTGTTGAACTCGATATAAAGTACATAGTGGATAATTTCAGTGTAGTTAGGGAGAAAGTATTCTATTTATAAACGCCATAAGAAATAAAGTATTTGTGAATAAAGAATATAACATACATAGTTAGATAAGTAGCAAAGAACCGAAAATTGTTTTATTTTGTGATTATACGCTTGTAATTTTGTAATTTGACAGTACTCTTGGTCGAATATTTTGTGCATCAAACTGGTTGGTTGTGTGTCCCGATGTTTGACGTGGTAGATGAGATCAATCTACAAATAGTAAAAGTCAGAAAAGTTTACGCCTGTCTGAGCTATTTTCGGTGTCATTACACCATCAGTCTGATTTTAAAATGTGTGTAAAACACGTGATTGAGAGCAGTACTACTCTGTTTCTGTAACACCGGATGACTCAAATGGACGGATGTTTGGTGAACGTATGTGTTCAGTTATTGTTGTCTTTGAAGGAGTTCTCGCATCAGGTGAAACCGACGTCCGGCAATTCGCGATAACAATTCAATTAGTAGAACGATCTAAAAACACTGACTTTATTATCTTTCACTGGTTCATCAAAGTAAGATAAGCGTCTACTGATTGTTTTTTAAAATAAAATTTTTATTTTACTAACTACTACCTTTGTTTATTTATTTAAGGATTATGCTTTAATTCCATCTTGTACTTTCAAAATAGTATTATCCTAATTTCTGTGGCAAATGCTTTTTACTCCAAGCTTTACCAAAATGTTTATGTATTATTAATGGCCACAAAATAACGGCAGAATTGTTAGAGATGGATAAAAGTATAATTCAGTGATAAAAGCTTGTTAAAACAGTTGAGGTGGTTGTTAGAGGTTATCGAAAGGAAACCGTAGAACTAGATATCGTGCTACTTAGGCGTGCCAGCAGTCTTTAGAGAGCTGATGTTCTCTGCAGGATCCGATCTTGTATCACCCAATTTCATAGTCAGATACATTTACCAATGAATAACATCGGGTACAATAGACCTCTTGTAGGACTGACGTACGTATAGTTGTTTGATCGTTAAGAAATGACCAATATTATGTATGTCAAGTCTTTCCTTAATGCTGATAGAATTTTATTTATCAAGTTGCATGTGGCCACAAATCCAAGTGACTTAACATCACAAGCACTATGTAGAGATATTAAATGGTTAATCTGTTGGTATTCCATGCATGTGTAAAAGTGATGATTAATTTACATCAAATACTGATGAATTTTATGTACTCATTGTTTACTAACTATAAGAGTAAATCATATATAACTCAATGTATTTAGATATAGTTTGATTTATTTACGGTGTGTAATAAATCCTCATCTATAGTCATGCCTCTTCTTGCAATAGGCCAAATCACACTTTCTCTGCTGTAACAAGTAGCTGCTTTTTTGTAGTTATAACAAGAAGTCATACAGCACAGATATACTAACACATTATATAACAAAAATTAACATACCGCCGATGTGAAGAACCGGTAGAGATTGTTTGATTTTCCAACAATGAACTGTAACCACTGGGCGAAGTTTGAATTTGTGACAATCTAGGAGTATGAACCGGATAATTTGATAAATATTGTTTTCCATTGAAAAGAGAAGAATTTTGTAGTACAGATGAATATGTATTGTTGGATTCTTCCGCATGTAATTCTTTCAAAGGTGTTCGTAAAGACCCGTTAGAAATTCGATTATTTCGGTTGTTACGATCTAAAGTGGAACTAAATGACCTATTTTGGAATGGTGGTGCATAATATGAAGTTGGAGTTGTTGTATGCATATATAAAATTTTATTATTAATAGGAGTTGATTCCATAGAAGGTATATCTAAACGTCGCCATTTATTCACTAAAAGTTTCATTCTAAAAAGTGAATAAATTTGTCCAGGTAAAATCCATATGAAATAAAATATATAGTACAGTAAATTTATAATTATTTTGGAACAGAATGCTAAATAAATTAGAAGACAGAAGATCAAACACCAATATACTTGATCTTCATTATGAACATAGATTTACCTTAGAAATTCGTGATTAAAAGTATGGCATATTGTCAAGAAATTCATTGAGTGATTGGTTTGAACTGTTTATGAAGTTTAAAGACGTTATAGATGAGATTCTAGAGTTAATCAAGCTGGATAATACAGTTCTAAATAACTCACATTAAAGTAGACATACTTGTCGCTTATTCTTATTAAAAAAATAAAGTTTACTATTTTTCATGTTTGTGCAAATTATAATTTCTCGATTATGCATTTGTCGATGAGTGACTTTAGAAGAGCTTACGGACCCAGTACTTTTACTATAGAAGTAAAATCAACCGCTTTTTTTTCAACGAACTATGACAACATTATTAATGGAAACATTCAACCAATGACTATAGGTTTATTATTTTATTTGGTGTAAGCTGTCGAATATCTATCAAAGTCTTAATAGACGTAAATAATGTTTATCAAATAACAGATAGCTGACGACATTCAACCGATTCATTTTTTTTTGTTTTTTAAATTTAATATCAGTCAACGTCGAATTTTGCAATTTAAATGCAAAATATTTACTTACCTCTGAACATTTGTTGACATTGTAACCGAAGAGAATGAAGTTATCTGTCAAGAATATCAGCAGTACACAACTAACAATAAGAGTAACTTGCACAGGCGAATCAACAACCAAATGTCATTTAACAAGACTATCCTATATGACAAGCGTTCATAAACTCTTAAGCAACCCCATAGGATGCTCGGCGTAAGACTCGAATTTATTAATCACACATAAACAGTATCAAATTAATTCGACGGATAAATAATATACTATTATTATTATTACAATACTTTAACTCACCTATGAATAACTTGGAAAACACGACCTATGGTACGAAATCTTCGGAGTGGGCTTAAGTTCACTTGTGAAGATCTATTTTTAGGATCTGTTTGTGAGGTGACTCGAGATTCAGGACATCCAAGAATTGCAACTACTACATTTTCTGTATATTGAAAATTACCCAAAAGAAGAAGTAAATAATGTTTTTGGAATGATAGTGAACGACGATAGCTTTGAGCACGAAGAAAACGGACGTATAGCGAGAAATACTGAAAAAAAATTAGTCAAAAAGTATAAATGAGATACGTTTTTGAATAGTGATTTAAGTAACGGCATGAGGCAAATTATACTGGTATAAATTGTAAGGAAAATGTCATATTACGTTATCAAGAGTTAATGAAAAAAACTAAGTGAACACTAGACAAAAGCTATTGCCATTAGAACTGATTACTTTATTTACAAGATACAGTATTTCTCTGTTCGAATTATTATTAGAAACAATGTACATTGAATTTTAGCAGTCAAGATTATATGTAGAATAAGTCGAAAATTAGTGAAGAATGAATACGTTGATCAATTACTATCAGTGATAATTGCCACAGTAAAAATCACATGGATATCTGTAAACAATAATTGATATGAACTGATGATATGCCATATATAATCAATCCAAAAACTGATCTGATAACAACAATAATAAAATTAGACATTTTGGTTGAAAATATTTAAACGAAACTTAAATCACAAAAATTTATCGTTGACAGACAAACAACTGCTTTAGCTAAGAATAACAGTATCACATTAGAACAACGAAAAGAAATTGATATTATTGACTAGGTTATTGTGTGATATTATCAACTATGATAGGTAACCTATACAATTCAACCATCAATTAATCAACTACAAGGACACCATTATTATTATCATCACCATCTATCATCGTCTTCAAATAATAAAAAAGTACTAACAAAATATTAATACTCATTGAAATCATGAACCGATCAATATTAGACCACCATTGAAAACCTGGAAACACTGAACGACCGTTTCGTCCCAGTATGGGATTCCTCAGCAGTGCGCATGTATGGTCTCACAAGTAGAACTCAAACCCAGGACCTTCAGTTTCGTCAGAACACTTAACCTCTAAACCAAATAGCCGGCATTTAACGGTGTTAATGTACTATAAAATGATAAAAAAAAGCAACTCAGTGTTCTAGGTTTTCAATAGTGATCTAACTTAGATCGGTTCAAGATCTCAATGCAAGTTAACAAAATGTTAATAATCGTAATTGAATTATATATCCGAACTCCAATGGATATGGATTATAAAGAATATGGTTTGAGTCTCTTACAATCATGAATACATTCAGCAATATAGCAAACAAAGAACAAAACAAAGAAAAAACGGTTGTGTAAGAAATGCACGTAAATGACATTGAGATCAGTAAACTTATTGTAATTATAATTATAGACAATATTCAAATACGTACTTGTTCCATAGACACAGTTTGATTAATATGAACACTTGGTGAAGACGGTATTACATTAGTTGTCATAATGGGTAAAGTTTGGACAGGGTTATTTATCTTATTCGAATTTGCCATATTTATAGTTTTCACGTGACTGTCAGATGTAGACTGGAGCTGATAAGAAAAAAAACAAATATTTAATATCTTTAACAGAAAAACAAATTTTGGTGTACGGAAATTTGAGTCAAATAAGTAAGTATACTACTTAAAAGCTACCGAGTACACAATGTGCATAATGAGTAATTTCAATAAATACAGTAACGAAATTACTTCCCAGCACATACAAAAAAGATCTTTAACGAAAATAATTGAGCTCATCTTGGTATACAAGGAATTTACAGTTTACTTGTAACGAATAAATTAAGTGAGATACATTCATTTATCATTACATATAACGTAATTTATTGTTCATGAAGTTGGAAGTAGTTTCATGAACAATCAATTTATATTGCCTGTAAAAAATGTTCGCTAGAAATAAACTTCATATTGAGAAACAGGTTTAAAACGCTAAGAATACTATACAGAATAAGGTCTCAAAACAATTTGTTTATTTTTAAAAAGAAACGTACTGAATTATTTAGAGTATCAGTAGATCGTCTGTTAGTTGTCTTATTAGATCTGCAAGATCCTTTACTGAGTATGCCACAGTTATTATTACCATTATTCAATGAGGATTCGTCGCGTTCAGCATCTAAACGATAACCACCATCACGATTTAAAGAATTTATGATTCCAGATCCAATGAAAATATTCTCTCCAATACTATCATCGTCTGATGAATGTGAATCAGAATTATGATCATCATTATCATCAACCTTTTGTAGATCATTATTACGTTCATCCACTGCAACGCGTGATAGTAAATCTACGCAAACATTTTTTAGTTTAGTAAACTTGGCACTTGTCAATTCTGACTGATCTCCACAAAGAGGCGATTTTTTCTTTGTAGCTGATTGTTTTATCATGGAACATTGTGATGTATTATTAATACCTGAAAGATTAAAAGTACCTGGCAGTACAGATGTCAAAGTAGGCATAAGACGAAGTTCTGCTTCGGCGAGATTTAAGCGTAAACCATGAGCAGTCGCCTAAAAAGTGGTGAAAAAGAAAACAATTAAACTTTCGTTACAACTGGAAAATTTGCTTCATCAACACTGTTGTAAGTGGGTGGATAACTGTTGCATCCTGAGAGTCGTTATTGTCGTGTACATGTCGACCCTGTTGTGTCTGCAATCATACTGCTTTTACTCGACAATCGAAAGCCGGTACAATCCCTTGATCCTATTACTTATACAGGGAAACGGTGACCACCACGATTCCTACGACATAGTGAGAACACAAAAGACTGGCGCAATGAAGTTTTATTGACTCCCCCAAAACTTAACTCCAAACAAGTCCCAAAACCATATCATAATAAACACAAATACACTTATATACTAATTTTGTACATAAACTTCATGGTATTTTTTGGGAAGAATAAATACCTTTACCGTAAAAACACACAACAAACATAGTCCACCTAAATTAATACAAGTAATAAAATTGAACGAAATTCACACTTGTCACCCTGGTCGAAATAGATAATGTTTTGATACAAAAAATATGGACCTAAATAATGTCATCTTTCTTTAAATGTAACTCTTCACCAGGTAGAAGTTCATGTACCCATATTTTGACTATACTGTGTCTGACATCTAGTAATACTATCCAGTGAGTCAAGTTAATATATACCTATAATTAAATTATTAAAATATGAATATTTTAACCATCGAATCACTGGTTCCGATAATATTCAATCAAAATAATTATTTACTTCAAAATATCGACAATCAAACACAACAAGAACATAAAATTTATCCTACCTGTAATTCTTTGACTTGATTTTGTAATTTAATTGTATCACGTCGAGTAGATGCTAAATGAATTGTAGCGAGATTTATCGCTTCATAGACACGTTGATTAAGATTTGATGAACACTCATTAGGTGCTTTATTTTCATTAGCCGTAGTTATATTTTCACCAATAACATAATTATTATTAATATTATTTGGCATTAGTGTAGTTCTGGTAAAGCAAGAACCATGAAGAGGGAAACAAGTGAAAGAGGCATAATTAGATTTTTTCAAAATAAAAATAAATTTAATAAAACAAAAAAAAACACAATACACTGTTTTCATTTGACTTTACGGGAAATGGACAATTCACCAAGTTGACATTAGGAATTAACCTTAATCAGATAACCAATAAAAACAAGTAACACTGAACTACTCAGCAGTGAGCATTCATGACCTCATTGAGGTTTGAAGAAAGGACATCTGAACATTAAATTGAGTACTTCACATTTAAAATGCTGAATTACTACTATACAATGGTTCACACTTATAACTCCAATCAATTCACGATTTCACGGGACAAAGGAAGGTCTTGGGTTCGATGCCAAGTGAATCCATGTATGCTCACTATTGAGGAGTCCCGCATTAGGATTAAACAGCTGTACATTGTTTACTGATTTTCAATGGCGAACTAACTAAGAGCAACCTGTGATATGAACTGTATTGTTTAAAGATCTCTACAAACTCGTCATACCAATTAAAGTAGTAATTTACTAAATGACAGAATATTAGAATTTCAACTTATGTAACTGTTAACGCAGTATTAGTAAAACCAAAATAATGTAAGCAATGATAATTCCAATATTGTTTCCTTCACTTAAAAATCACAAATTTCTTAGCTTAAATGTGCATAAAACAAATGAAATAAAAAACTTTCTTTTATATACACTTGAAATTTATCGCAGGAAACCCACAGTATTTATATTCTTATCTTCAAGAGAAATACAAACACCATTACGAAAAATTAAATAGAATGTTATAAAGCTTGTTCAAGTGTCAGTGTTAAAATTTAAGAATGAAATCGCTTATTAGAAGGTCCACAAAGCTAATGAATGGATAGGAACGGAAACAAACGTTTTACTTCGTTAACACGGGTGACTATACAATAATAATAAATCCATAGTACAGATAGAAATTTAGAGATATCAGATTTTAATAAGCATACTGTATACAAAAACATCGTTCATTGTCGGACAATACCGAACAAGACAAGGTTAGAAACAGGAAAATTGATGGTGTAAAGAAACTAAATACTCACTGATAAGTGTTCTTCCTAATTTGGTCATATAATTGATCCAATTCAATTTTTAATGACTGAGCTCGATTCTTTTCATTTGTTAATGATATTTTTAATTCCTGAGAATGTACAATAAAAAAAATGTTAAAGAAACTAGAAAAAGCTCTACATCTAATTTTTGTATTGTAAAATTTACAGGCCGTCTTTGTTTTCACAAAAAACACTGAAAACATAACTATTCATAACATATACGACTTTGGGTAACATTTCAAACACCAGGCTTAAATCACAAAAATTATTTCAGATACTAGTAGAAATGAATTCCTTTAATAATCATTTTTGATTGATGGTTATAATTAAAGTATAGACAGTGATTGAATTCATCAAGAAACCATAAAAATAACAGATTAAATTCCTTTTTAGGCACATACATGCAGTTATAAGCTGAAATAGTAATACAATGGTTCACTACTATTATTTATTTATTTTAACACAGAAATATTGGTACAAAGGAGCACCGAATTTATATGCGTCATACAAGTAACTTATTTTGTGTGTGGGCTACGATACTACCCGGGTGCCCAGACCAAAGCAGGTGGTTTTCTTATGGGGTCACACCCAGAGCCTTCAACCTAAAGGTCTGATCCACAAGCAACGTCAGGAGATGCATTCCCATGGTAGCCGGTGACCAACAATTGGTTCCTACGCCATTTTTCCATCAGGATCCTGGAGCCCATGTGCATCATTGGTTTGGAGTCAGGGTTTTCCAACTCCCCTATGTGAACCCTACTTGTCCACCAAACTGGTTAAAGCGCCGGATATTCGCTTTTCGTCCTCTGAATTTCGTAAACAACACCCTCGACGCGAGAGGGCAGTGAGTAGGATTTCCCTGGTAGCGGTTGTATGCACGTGGCCATGTGAGAGCATTTCGAGAGGGAGAGTTAACTCTCCCCACCCTAGGCTGTACCAGGGCATTTGAGGGCTAATGTTTTAATTGACTAACGTCCAACCATTGGGTTGAATGTTCAAACTTTACTTTAAATAATTCATTTTAATTAGTCCATTCATATCATTAGTTCGTATATATTAGGTATAATTAAAAATGAACTATATAAACATGTAATAGAAAAATTAATAATCATCATTCAACTGATAAAACGAAATACAGAATGTTAAAATTAACTTTTCACCAATCAACAAAATTCTCTTTTGTGCATATTATCATCATTTTTCCAAAAAAAAAATGATAATATGAATATTATAAGTAAGTAACTGAGAGAAAAGAAAATAGATTTACTTGAATTAAATTATTTGATGATGACAATTCATTTTCAGCTTGAATCTTAGCTGACTGTAATGTTTCAAGTTCCGTACGAAATTTCTCTGTTTGTGTATTTTCTTTACATAATTGTAATCTGGAATAGTACAAATATCCGGAATATATATAGGAGTAAAATAATCAAAACAGTGTATGAACCCGAATCCAAATGTGAAATACGGAGAAAATTTAAATCCTTACTTATCTACCTTACTTATGGTGACGGTAAATACGATATAATAGTTTCTTTTGTTATTAGTATTCAATGAATAATAGACGATGATTCCAATGAAAGAAGAGGAGGACCTCCTTAAATCAGTGAAATAAACAATATTATAAATATGTCTCACTAACAAACGTTTGGAATGGTCACGACTTAAATACGTCCAAAATGTATCATTTGTAAATTTGAAAGGTTAATCAAGAAAGAGTAGGGAAATTTGTTGTTGGGTATAGAGGTGTGTTGTAAACAGTATAATTATAAGATAAATTATGGGAATGTAATCCATAATGGGATAAATGTTATGTCGAGTAAACTAATATAATAGTAGTAATAAAAATAACTAACTACTGAAAATATCATATGTCGTAGGTGAAATGCTGTCAGGCCTATAATAACGATGGAAAAACCTATGCGAATTGAGAAGGATTAGTGTGTAAATCAATAATGAGATAGGGCGGAGATAAACAGAAAAGGTGACTGAGTATTTAACGGTCTAAAATATACAGTTTACGTATGAGGTGACCATATAATGGGTCATATTAGGTAGAGAAACACAATATATATCTCATTTGAAGTTGACCCCGATTGCTCTAGATATTATGCAGAGAACTTATCATCATTTTCTCTATAAATTTATAAAGGATACGCTTTGGACGTATTTAAACATCAACCGAATTATAAGTTCACTAAATCAAATCTTTAAACTTGTAAACAAATAATACACAAATATATTTCAGCCAATCAAAAAGTACCACAGTTACAAACATTAGATACATTCAAAAAGGCAACCATTGTCCCAATGGTTCACAAAATGAAATTAAAGCCAAAAGAAAAACAAAGTAACAATTATAGAGGGGTGAGATTCAAACAAAACAAAAAGCCGTTATTGTGCAAAAACATATACAGCAAAAACAGATCACCTTAAAATTGCCTGTGGAAAAACACGTTCAATAAATAAACTAGTTATCAGTATTCTTCCACTGAAAAACATTGTTTTGAGTAAAACGAAAGATAGTAAGAAAAATAATCGCATTAAGTAGAAACCGGATAGTACTTAAGTGATCAGTTGCTAGACGTTCAAGAATATGATACGATAAAAACATGATGATAAAAAACTGCTGCCAAGCGAAATGATTTACAATCATACTGGAGCAGTGTTTTTTTTTCTAATACAAGCGTTCATATTCCTTCCTCTCAACGTAAAGCAGAAAAGAAACGAAAGTTGGACAGTGTTGACAAGTGCTCAGCATAAAATAGATCACTTTACCGATTTTAATGAGAATGAAAAAAACGCTAACCATTTGACGTATATTAATACTATGGTCAGTAACTAAATAGTGGTGTATAGCCGCCGAAGCAAGTAGGTAGCGTGTAGTGGGTAAGGATAGAAATGTAATGGTAGGGATTCAGATCACCACCAAAACAGAAATATTTGTGTTACCGAAGCGAGCTCTGTAAAAATAATCTTGTAGTGCGATTAGACTGTGCAACGACTTCTTGATTTTCACAAAAATCTTCAATATATGATTATTCCTTGTATTTCATGGGTCGTACTATAAGAGTTACCAACATGAAAAGGTTACTCATAAATCTACAAATACTTTGGTTTTCCGTACATAAGCTAACCTTGAAGTAAAGCCTCTCATATTAATGAAGACCTCTCTACTGTTTGATGTACAAACGTAGGGGAATTCTGGGGATCTAGGAAATCATTATCAAGTGTTCGAGCAACAGAAGTATTAGTATTTCAATAATTTAGTGAGAAAATAATACAAACCTATTTAGCTTTTGGGGAAAAATAGATATGAATATGATCTGAAAATGAGTAATACATTCGTAAATGATTATATTTTGTAAATAACAATGTCATGTATTAAACCTAACCTTAACTGTTCAACATTAGTTCGTTGACGCTGAACTTCATCTTCCTTCAATTGTAATTCATGCTGTGTATGAACAAGATCAACTTGTAAATCACACAATTGACCTTGCATTTCATTAGTTCGATTATTTGCATTATTTAATTCTTCTGATAACGAACTTACAACCTTAGTCAAACGATTCACTGAAATTTAAAACAAGACATATGATTTAATATTTTAAAAATATGAAGATAATTATTACACTTAAAGTGGGCATATAAAATTAAAGAGAGCTGTAAAAACAAAATGTAATTACATGTTAATAAAAAATATTAGTCGCGAAATTGTGTAAACAATCAGAATCAGTGAAGGTTGAATAGCTTCTTTTGTTTGAGTTTGGGACACTTAGGAATCCATTACCCTACTAGTGATGGAAGTTAGTATCTTCAGGTCGTATGGTAAGCATGTTGCTCACCGATCATTTATTCAGGACGTAAATATTCACATTTCCGATGTTAGTTAATTAATAACATAGCGCGACAACTAGTCAAGCATAAGTAACAGAATCAAACATATATCAGCATCGACCAAAGTTGCTAAAACATATAAGAACACCGAGACAAAATCATCATGATGATTACCAAAGTAGCATAAGTAGTAAAAAAAAATTAAAAGGGATATAAAATATAATTCGAGATAAATAAATGAGTTCGAGGAACAAAAGATATGAAAACAAAACTAATACATTAGACACAAATACTGATTACATTGGCCATTGTTCAGTGATCGACCAATGTAAATATCTTGAACCTATATGTCGCCAGTCGCTGTCTGAATAGCTTGATTGTAACCTTTCAGACTATGAAACTGGGTGCCCTGGGTTCGAATCCACTGGGGTGCTAACTTCCAAAAAACGTGACAAATCCTAACTAGCACGAAGGTTAAGAAATTCATTTCGACTACCTTAAGCCACCTAGACACTTTACAAGCATTTTGTAATAAATTAAAACTAATTAACATTGAAATATTTCATGAACTTTTTCTAGAAAAGATTTCATTAAAAAGAGCTACACCTATTTCACTATATATTAGATTTTATTTGACATTTAACAACTATATTTCCACTTCAACGTTTAAGCATATGAATAACAAATATCCAACTCTTTGAATAAAAAAAGCTACTTACTTTCGCCTACCAAAGCATCAGAACGATTAACATGGGTTTTCAATTCAGATTTAAATGAAGCTTCTTCTACATGAAGAACATCAATAAGACATTTACGAAACTGTAAGAGAAACATAACAACAAATGAATAAATCAGTCAATTATCAACGTCATTATTTTCTCAAAAACAAAATAAATCCAACTGTAGCCCTTCACTAGTTACTGCCGGTTCCAAGCCCGGATAAAAAAAAAGTTAAGCACAAAGTCTGCAACGCTATCCCGTTAAAAACAACCTTACTAAACAAACGCTAAAAAGGAAAAAACACAATTTAAATAAAAAACAATAATGGCAGAAAGAGAAATACCTCATCTTCACGACGCATAAAAGCTGATATTCGTTCTGTCAAATGTTGTATAATTTGGCACAAAATATTCTCTGTGGGTAATTGCACTCCTGGATTGGGAACCGATAACGTCCTACTTCGAAGTATATCACAAGTTTGATTAATCGAAGAAGTGATTACTGAAATCCAAAGTTTCTCATCGGTATCCAAAGCTTTAGTTAATGAAACTAAAAGTCGATTCATAAACATTCTCATTGTTTCTTCACCATCTTCGAAGGTAGACTGGTCTTTATTAATCCATGGATTGTTATGTATAATCTATAATTAAAAGTTAAAATGATACATTTTTACGAAAATAATACACACAAGAATATTATTCAAACAAAAAAATTAAGAGTTGAGTTCATGAGTCGATGTAAGCTAGACCACCATTGGAAACCTGGAAGCACTGGACGGCACGTACTAGGACGAAACGGCCGTACAGTGCATCCAGGTTTCCAATGTTGGTCTAGTTTACATGGACTCATGAATTCAACTGTTAAGATTACTACAAACTCCACAAACCTTCATTCTGTTAAAAAAAATTGTCAGAATTTTAAATACCTTGGTCACTTCATTAACTGCTTCTTTCAAATCAAAATAGGAATTACGAATTTCAATAATCCAAGGGGCACATTCATTATATTCTACCTTTATAGTAGTTTCTTCATTATCATTTGTTTTATTAATTAAAATACTTCCTGGTCGATCACAAACTGACTGACGAGCAGTCGCAATCGCAGTCACTGTTGCAAGTCGAACACTCTCTTCTCTTAACCGATTAGATAAAGTCTAAATTAAAAGAAATACAGTATAGCGTTACATAACATAACATGTTAAACAGTATTATCACAAAAAAAGAGAATAAGCATGCGACATGAAATTCTTAACTTCAGTAGGCCCCGTTAAACAAGCACAGATTAGAACTGATCATATGGATATATTGCAGACCTGACCAAAATAAGGTGTGTATCGAATGTATTAGCAACAAGAATCTTCGATTTTTTTAAGAGAAAACTGAATGTATTACGAGAGAGTACTATAACTGGACTGTCTCAGAAAAATGAAAATTAACATCTTGCATGCATCAAACCATTAAAAAATATATTAAATCAACGATTACATTGAGCTCAGCTGCGACAGCTCCAGAAAGTGCATCATTCTCCACTGATAAAAATGTTGAGTTAGGTGACTCTTCTTCCTTAGGCGTAGATGTTGCCCATATTTGATGAATATGTTCTTGTTCAATGTTAGGATGAAAATTTTTACGTTCATATAGAATATTCAGTTTTACATCTTTACTCGGATCAGAATATACAGAAGGTTGATTTTCAAGTGAAATAGGGATCTATTAAAATTGAGAAAAAATGTTCAAAATTGTAAACGCTACTACGAAGTGAAACATTTTATGTCTTTGAGAATAAAATGTGAAAGAATATCTAGACAAAAAATACTTCCAAACAATGGGTTATTCATTTAATGAAGTAACTTTTAAAACAACTTAACAGCTAAACAAAGTTTTTTATTACGTCAAAACTTACTGAAAAACAGAAGAGTACGAAGATTGAATAAATGTCACTTTTATTTATCGAATAATAGTGAGAAAGAAACATATGACACAGCTAACGTCCTCATGACAATAAACTGATCTCAGCCGAAAAGCTGATACTTATAATTTTTTTCGCTTCCCTCCATCGTAATTGGTTTTACTCAACATGGAAGAAGTTAGTTCATTTTCGCATTGTCTGTTTGAAGCTTCCAATTCATGTTTAGGACTGCAATACATCAGTCTTTTATTGGCATATGCGCATCCTATACGGATTACCTCGATATTGCCTTAAGTCACAAGTATTATAAACAAAGATGGATGGTGGCTAGTAGAGGAATACAGGACTCGCGTTTCTATTTATTTGGAACTCGTAAAGTGAATGAACCTGCATCTCAGGGTTCATATTCACTTCGGGACACGAACCTAGCACTGTTCGCTTCAAGCGTCATTGAGTCCTGATAGCGTATGAAGCGAACAGTACTGGATTCGAGTCCCGGAATGAACATCAACTCTGAGATGCAGGTTCATTCATATAACGAGTTCCAAATAAATAGAAACGTGCGTCCTGGTTTCCACCACTAGCCACCATCCATCTTTACTTATGAAGAACAGTTTAGGTCTGTGTGACAACAAAACGATGGTGCTATAATTCCGAATCATTTTCTAGAAAGTGTATTCACAAATGATGACAAAATAAAATTGACATTTTATTCAAGGAACTATTTCATATATGTGCAATGAATCGTGTCGTTATTAAAAGTTAATACGACAAGCAGCAATTTTCAAAATAGGCAAACAATATGGTGAAAATACTATTATTATTGACATTTTAGGAAATTGAGGAAAAACGCAACTTACATCATCTGTTTGAACCATTTTTGTCGAGCTCGTCAAATCCGTTTGGACAATTGCAGAAGACACTAGATTATCACGGTCAATATATTTTACTTGAGCTTTCAATTCTTCAATTTCCAATTCTAATTGAGTAACTTTTAATTCCAAAGATTTCTTTACAATAAAAGAAAAAACAAGAATTATTTCTTTTGAACGAAATAATGAAGAAGATTAAATTAAAAGAAATTATGATGTGTACAATTGAAGCAACCAATAAGATGCAATGCATTTATTGTGTTCCCAAGACTTATTTCTAAAAAAAAACATAGGTAAGACGTTATCGACACAAATACCAGAGTGATAGTAAACAATTAGGAGTATGAAGTAACACACTACAAAAGAAACTGCCAACGTGATTCAGTCAAAAATACCACTAATATTAACGAAGAAACCAAATTATAGAAAGGATCAATAACTACCTTCACCTATCTTAAATTAGGAGTACAAGTTATGATAGTTGCAACATTTTGATAGGACTAAAACCTAAGCTCATAAATTGAGAATCAATTTTGGTGTCAGTTGGTTTATTTAACTAAGATGGTATTGTGTGTTATTAGTTGCATGTATGAAGAGATTTAAATGAATAGTTACACGTTCACCAACTATTAAAGTCGAGAACAGAAAAACGTTGAATCATAAAGTATATTTTACTCAGTTAATTATTCTTCAATGAATCTATGGAAGTAAAAAGACCTCAGGAAACATCTTAGAGTTACTCAAACAAGTGTTGATAAATGTTTAAATCAGTTTAACGTTTTTTGAATGTAATTATCGTTTTAAACAAAATATATACATTATCATTTTAATTTTCTAGACTGATTACCATATTTTGAAAAGGTGAAAGATATCACCAAAAAAGCGTGTTCATAAAAAATGCTTGTGATTTTAACAGTTGAATTCATTAGTCGATCAAAGCTAGACCCTCATTCAAAACCTGGAAACATTAGGACGGCCGTTTCTTCCTAGTATGAGACTGCTCAGTAGTGCACATCCACGACCCCGTACGCGAGAATCCAACTCAGCTCAATATGCTAATCATCAGTTATCCACTAGTAAGAACGTGATGACACAAAATCAACAAAAAAAAACAATCACTTACTTTATCTTCACTCAGAAGGAACAGGTCTTCATCTCGTTCTAAAATAACATCTTTCCGCTCTGACATTGGATTGCTAAGACTTTTGCATTTATTCTACAGTGAAAAAAAGTATTTAGAGAGAAGAAAATGATTAGCAATTATCATGATAAACTTATTAAGTTCCTACCATGACACCAAAAATAAATATGGTGGATTACAGATAATTCTTAACAAAATTAACAAGGAAATAAATATTTTAAATCAGTTGCACCATTTTTTCCCACGTAACATATTCTCTTGATGATGATATTTTGTTAATTAAAAACCTAATCATAAACTAAGGTACATAAACTGGAACACATTTGGATAAGCATTAGAAACTTATCGCTAAACATATGACATCCCATTTTTTGAAAGTGTATATAATGTAGTAGTTCGAACCCTGTTCCACTAGTATTTTTATTTTAGTTCAATGAATCACAAATAAAAGAAAACACTACATATGCTATTGTTAATTTGTTATTGTAAATAGGTGTTCGTGTTTAAACAACTTAAATATTAAAAATAAATAAGTAAGAAGGGGATGCTTAGAGTATTTCGAACTTGGAGCGATCCATCAGTGATATTATTTGAAAGAACTCTAAGATTTGTTAAATGCAGCAAAGAATCTAAGTTTTTATTCATCTGCCCGGTCAATTTAATTGTAATTGAATACATAGTACAAATAATAAATGATAAGATTTGTGTCAATTTATTAACTGAGAAAACAATTAGAAAATACACAATCAGTTTAAGTTTAGCAATTCATCATTGTCGATGTAAATGATAACACACATCAACGTATAAACCTAACAAACTGGATCACATAGTCATACTCATTAAAATAAAAAATATTTGACACATAATTTCATGAATGAATTTGACACAAGATCATTTGAAAAATTTTAAGATAGATGAAATTTTAAAAATATCTACTTTCAATAGGAAGCACTTTGTTTATTAGACTGAAGGCTAACAGACTTAACAACTGAAGAACATCTGGAACTCAAAACAACTGTCAACTGCCAATACCAAAGTCAGAATTTTCAATACAACCTACTATGGGAGAGAACAAACCAGATCCCAGTGGAGGAAGTAATCAGAAAGAAGTGCTGGAAGTGGATAGAATACACATTGAGGAAAGCACCGAACTGCGTCACAACTCAAGCCCTCGCTTTGAATCCTCAAGGCCAAAGGAGGAAAGCAAGACCAGTGAACACATTACGTCGAGAAATGGAGACAGATATGAGAAAAATGAACAAAAATTGGATAGAACTGGAAAGGAAGACCCAGGATAGAGTGGGTTGGATAATGCTGGTTGGCGGCCTATGCTGCATTCGGGGGTAACAGGCGTAAGTAAGTAAAACGCTTGGATAAGAGCAACACAAACATCTTGTTATGATGTTATTTATTACCTCTGTTTCAAGCAGCTGTTCTGTTACTCGAGTAAGGTCATTTTGACGTTCCACTAGCATTTCATGTACAGCATCATAATCACGTTGTAATTCAATCTGGAAAAAAATTAGTACAGCAAGATCATGTAGAAATGAGTGTTGAACAACAATTAAACAAGAGTCAAACATTGAGGTAAATAAAAATATAATCTTTAAATTATAATCATAGGTTTTAAAGATGTTCGAACTGTTATTGACAATTTAGTTGAGATAATTATACACAAATTAGTCCACCTATTCACAAAACTGTTATAAGTCGTTGATAAAGATTACGTTATCAGTTGCGATATCAGTAAGATATTTGCAGACGACGTTCACTACCATTAGTGTAGGACATTCAGTAATCCGAATATAGATTTGATTACGTGCCATTTGAAACATTAAAACCACGAAAGTCATAGAAACGAATTGTTATCAACCTGCGGTTACAATACATGTACGTGATAAGAATATTAAAATGACTAGTAAGAATAAAAAAAATTTAGTATCCCAATTTAAATTATGCCTTACATAACAATCAAAGTTACAACAGAAAGTTGTGAACTTGGAAAAAGTGTCGGTCATCGATTTAAGCACTGTTTATTGCATCAGATACAAACTTACTTTGAATGCTATAACCTAATTGTGCTATAAGCATAAACCTGAGAAGCAAAAGTAAGTGCGCTTACAAACTTGTAGATTTATTCAAAAAGTGATTGATATAATGAACACAATGCGTTCGCTGTCAAACAACTTATAAGTAGAATTTCACACATATTCAAGTAATACACTGCAAATGTTCATGCATCACATGTATATAGTGAAGTCACAAGAAAAAACTAGATTTGTAAAATCATACATTAAGACAAAAATTAGTTTAAAAAATACGGGGAAATTACAAAACACAACACAGTGTGATCAGAAAGGCAGATGATTTCATAGCATTACATAACATCGGCCACAGTGACAGACGGTAAAATGGATATGCTAATCTATAAGGATTATTTTGAAAGAATTTTGTTCTGCACATAAAATTATTTAGGTTTACAATAAAAGTCATATGAAATACTTTATATTTTTCTAGAAGGAAAGAATTTTTTCTTAACTAAAGACACAGCATTACATAGTGTTAGTGTACTTCAGAAAATACAACCGGAAAAAACAACGAAGAAAAACAACAACCAGAAAAATACAACTTGAGCCAAGATAGTAAAGTGAGAGAAATAAGATCTACGATAAAAATGTATCCACCGAACGATCACTGAAAAGTCATCCAATCCAATCCTTAATTTTGATATGTGTCAATAGTGTAATTAATACGACATCACGAGGACTTTGTTTGGAAGTCCAGTGATTGGAGGTAATCTAAATTAAAGCTGTAACCAAGTTTTCGTGTTAGCTGGGGCTCGTTAGTAAGGTTGTAGATAAGACTTGCATCACCTTGATAAACACAAAGATATAATCAATCGCAAATAAAACAATTAATTTCTACATAACCAGATCTCGTCTTGAATGAAAGTCTTACTAAGAATAAATGACCTTATTGTTGAGCAACTTCCAACCTATTGCATTTTCACTTTGTATGTGTCAGAAATCGCATATGAACACAAGTTAAGACTCAGTCAACGAAAATGTCAAAAAAGAATTATCCGGAAAATGTTCTCACAACAAAAGAATGTTTCATTTAATTTACACACAAAACATAGAGCATTTTTTTATTGTAGTATAATTTTGTAACTTGGTTTTGCAAAACGTTTTATTACATGACATAAAATAACGTTTATTAACAGTTGAATAGAGAGATGTATGAGTATATGTAACTTACTTGGTATTTTGTAAGACCACTAATTTCATTACGTAGTGTTTTAATAAGAACTTCTGATTCCATAAGCTGTTCAATTAACGTTGAAACCTCAGACAATGAAACCTATAATTGTGTAGAAACAATAAATAAAATTATCAAACAATCCCAATACTGTAGATATTACAAAGATGAAAATAAAAACAGACTGATAGTGGATACTCATTCACATACACACTAAATATATGATACATGAATGACATTATCGAAGTCGACGGGAACAAGTGAATGTTATTCAGCATGTAAACTCATTAAGAAATGAATTATATCTCAAAAATGCACACACAGAAACCATAATTAGTAGTAATAATAATAATAAGAAGAAGAATAACAAATATTATTATTGTTATCGCTTTATTCAGTATTACTTGGTTAGTACTATGTCGAATTCGCAATATAACAAAGAGAGAACAATGATGCCACCACGCTAACACATACTAAACTCCTGAAAGCAAATGAACACGGTTCACCTGAAGTTTAAACCCAATGAAGTGCGAAGGAAAGTCTACAGTAAGGTTCAAAGTATTCCTCATTACTCTGAACTCGGTGGCGGTTTGATAATTGATTACTACCATCTTAAAACAGTTAGACGAATCCACTGAAAGAGAAAACTCCAACAACATTGAACAAGAAAAGAATGTCTACACTGAATGAAATATACTGAGTTAATCAGCTGCACATCTATGAAACAAAAAAGGTTATGACATAAAAACGGAGCTGAAATAACTTTATGTTAGTAGCTACAGAAAGTTGGTAGTTAAAGTCGCAAGATATATAGAATTTACGGACCATGATTTGTCTGAATGAATATCATTAATAATACAAAGATTATAATATATATACAGTTAGATACATAATATATGATAATATGGTAAGCATAGAAACTTACCACAGCTCCTGGATTTTCAACATTACTGTTGGATATAGCACATATAGTTTGAGGATCAGAGTCAACGGAATCAGGAAGTTTAAATCCAGCGTTCTCTGAAACACATGAACTTGGAGTAACATCCAGATGTTCTGATGAAAGCATTATCTCTGGAATTTCATTTTCCAATTCATCATCTTTATCAGAAATAGGAGATCCCATCAAAGTCTGAAGATTTTCATCTTCGGGAGAAGAACATTTGTCATGCTTCATTAAAATTAAATCTTGAATAATTGGTGATTTTGCAGTTGGTGGAGTTAAAGATTCAATACTCTCTAAGTCTAAAAGACCTTGAGACATTTCTACACCAGTGTCTTCATTATTTGAAGAGAATGATGGTGAGAACAAAGCCGGTAAAGAACGATGATGCTAAAGTGAATTACAGAAATGAAAATGAAAGTTTTCACTTGATGCATAATAATAATAATAACAAACGTATTATTCAAGTCCATACCAAATTTATTATTACAATATAGAATCTCAACAGAAAACAATATGAAGTATTGCAAAGAACTGCTTATTAATGATGATTTTTCATTTTATCTACGTTTTATATTCATGAATCCTAATTTAATTGTTGCTTGTTAATCTTCAGGATACACGCAAAAATATATCTGCTAATTGATGTTGTAGTTTCATTTGAAATTTACAGCGTAAAACTTGACAATAAATTGTTAACCTTCTATGTGAAGGTCTGTGTGAGTATCTTATGTGGTTAACGTAATTGATTCGTTGAAAAAAAAAGTATAAAAATAGGAAAGTTTTGTACAGTCGGTAAAATAGTTGACGTACAAGTTTGATCAAGCTCTTCCTAAATAATTCGACTACAACTAAACACAGAAACGTAATTATCAATACGAATGTAATTGGCTGTTTAACTGTTAAGAATATGAAGGAATATTACCACAAAATAACTTTGACGACACTGTTAAATTGAGAGAAAATGGAACTTTTACGGAAATTAATTAAGTATATTTCTGCTGTGTAATTATTAAATCCTTGGATAATATTATTTATTATATCGCTCTTATCATAAACTTTCACTTAATCCACAAACCGTTACTGCATGCTTTACCATTTGTAAATTATCAGTAATTAATAATAGACTTATTGCTCAATTTTTAAGGAGATATATGACTTGGTTATATAAAACTTTATACTTCCTTATTTGTGATGCGTCGTGGTCATGTAACTGATTTATTTAATTCGGTGAGTGTTGATTCAGGAAGACAAAACAGTAATATAAAAGTTGAATATGTTTAATATCTTCGCAATATCATTGGTTAGTGAGAGGGCGGACCAATAAAAATTATGTTTTCCAGCGCATTCAGATTTCTTCCTCAACTGGAATCTGGTTTGTTCTCTCCCATAGTAGGTTGTTGCTGATAATGTCTGGCCAACTGATCCGAAGTATTTTACGTAGACAGCTATTAGTAAAAACTTGTATCTTCTGGATGATGGCTTTCGTATTTCTCCAGGTTTCCGCCTAATACAATAGAAGTGTCTTGACATTTGTATTGAAAATTCTGACTTTGGTATTGGCAGTTGACAGTTGTTTTGAGTTCCAGATGTTCGTCAGTTGTAGATATGTTGTTCTTTCTTCGTCGATCCGCGTCTTCACATCTGCATCAGATCCACCGTGTTCATTAATGATGCTGCACAGATATGTAAAAGTTTTTACATCCAAAAATGTTGAGTACGACTATGTGATCCAGTTTGTTAGGTTTATACGTTGATGTGTGTTATCATTTACATCGACAATGATGAATTGCTAAACTTAAACTGATTGTGTATTTTCTAATTGTTTTCTCAGTTAATAAATTGACACAAATCTTATCATTTATTATTTGTACTATGTATTCAATTACAATTAAATTGACCGGGCAGATGAATAAAAACTTAGATTCTTTGCTGCATTTAACAAATCTTAGAGTTCTTTCAAATAATATCACTGATGGATCGCTCCAAGTTCGAAATACTCTAAGCATCCCCTTCTTACTTATTTATTTTTAATATTTAAGTTGTTTAAACACGAACACCTATTTACAATAACAAATTAACAATAGCATATGTAGTGTTTTCTTTTATTTGTGATTCATTGAACTAAAATAAAAATACTAGTGGAACAGGGTTCGAACTACTACATTATATACACTTTCAAAAAATGGGATGTCATATGTTTAGCGATAAGTTTCTAATGCTTATCCAAATGTGTTCCAGTTTATGTACCTTAGTTTATGATTAAGTTTTTAATTAACAAAATATCATCATCAAGAGAATATGTTACGTGGGAAAAAATGGTGCAACTGATTTAAAATATTTATTTCCTTGTTAATTTTGTTAAGAATTATCTGTAATCCACCATATTTATTTTTGGTGTCATGGTAGGAACTTAATAAGTTTATCATGATAATTGCTAATCATTTTCTTCTCTCTAAATACTTTTTTTCACTGTAGAATAAATGCAAAAGTCTTAGCAATCCAATGTCAGAGCGGAAAGATGTTATTTTAGAACGAGATGAGAACCTTTAGCGCAAATGTTTGCTCAGATCGTATCAATATAGCGAAAATTCCTATTTTGACAAGTGGTAAATAAAGAAGGAATGAATTGAGCGAAGAAATTTCTTTTCAGTTAGTTTTTCATCATGGCTCTACACTAATATATATATGATTTACGATAATGATATAATACTCATCGAGTGGATGCGTTACGTAACAATTACATAATGACATTTAAATTAACATTGAGTAATTGGAAGAAAGATGATTTTATTTGCAATGAACTAACAATGAGACGCATCGAAACCACGATTCGCGCATCCGTAATAAAATAATTAATTCTTAGATGCACAATGAATGTCCAATTCAGATTTGACAACGAATACTATAGACAACTAGATGGCGTTGCCATGGGTCACCATTGGGCCCTCTACTGGCGGATATTTCCCTCGCAAAACTGGAAAATGGACAACTTGAAAGCACAATTAACCACTTACCAACTTATTATAGCTATATAGACGATACTTTCATAGTATTAAAAAACATGATAAGGATAATTAACTTTATATATTTAATAACGTTCATCCATCAATTAATTTTACACCAGAAGATGAACAGAACAATAGCATATCATTTCTAGATGTCCAACTAACTAGAAGAGATGACGGAACTTTAAAAAGAGAGATATACAGAAAGTCTGCATCAGGACAATACACTCATTTCCACAGTGCGGTTCCAATCAGATACAAAAGGAACTTGATAAAGATCTTGACTCATCGTGCCAGAATGATTTGCTCGGAAGACACCATTGAGGATGAACTGGTTAATATCCGGAACTTACTAAGTATGAATGGGTACCCTATGAAGTTCATCGACAAGCACATGATGGAGAAGAAAACAAGGGCAAAGATACCTACCGTCCCTAAGAAAGTACAGTTCATAAAATTACAATTCATAAATGACACCACTGAAGAAATCGTGACTCAGAAACTACGAAGAGCTGTACGAAAAACATTTAATTCAGCCAGATTAAACGTTATCTTCTGCAACCACTCCAAAATAAGAATTACCAATAAAGACAGACTGCCTGAATTCGACAAATCCATCTGTATCTATCGGTTCAACTGCTCATGTGGAGCCAGTTATTTAGGGCGTACAATTCGGTATTATGTAATTGTTACGTAACTTATCCACTCGATGAGTATTATATCATTATTACAAATTATATATATATATATATATATATATATATATATATATATATATATATATATATATATATATATATTAGTGTAGAGCCATGATGAAAAACTAATTGAAAAAAATTTCTTCGCTCAATTCGTTACTTCTTTATCTTGAATTTGTTGAGTTTGTCAGTATCCCGAAGAAAAGCCGTATTAGAATTTTGTGATATTGTCCGCCCCGTTGTCCAGTACTTCTTGAGTTTCAATTTCATCTTAGCGACCAGCAAGTGATGATCTGATGCTATATCAGCTCTTCTCTTGGTTCTCACATACTCCATCGTCCTCCAGAACTTTCTGTTGATGCAGATATGGTCAGTTTCGTTTTGTGTTGTGTGATCCGGTGAAGTCCATGTGGTTTGTGTATGCGTCTATGTGAGAATTTGGTGCCGCCTATGACCAGTTTACTGAAGGCACATAGGTTTGCAAATCTCTCACCATTTTCGTTTCTTTCTCCCAGTCCGTGTCGTCCCATGATGTCTTCATATCCGGTGTTGTCCATTTTCAACCTTGGCATTTAAATCTCCCATCAGAATGGTCAGGTCCTTTGTTGGACACTTCTTGACGATTGAGTGCAGCCTATTGTAGAATTAATCTTTATCGTCTTCATTGTAGTCGTTGGTAGGCGCATAGCATTGGATGATGTTTATCGAAATGCCCTCTTTCTTTGTTTTGAACGAGGCTTTGATGATCCTTGGTCCATGAGATTCCCATCCTATAAGCGCATTTTGTGTTTGTTTGGACAGCATCAATGCAACTCCTTCTGTATGTGGAGCATTTTCTTCATGGCCGGAGTATAACAGGAGCTCTCCTGAAGTTAGTCGTTGTTGTCCAACTTGCGTCCAGTGTGTTTCGCTGATCCCAAGCACCTCTAGGTTGTAACTCCTCATTTCTGCAGCGATTTGGAAGGCCCTCCCGGTGTCTCACATTGTACGAACATTCCATGTACCTAAATAAATGGTTTCTCTGGTTGTCAGAAGGGGCATCGGCCTCGTAACTTCCGAAGGAATTCGGCTTTCATCATGTGGCGTCATAGTTCTTCTAAATGAAGACCTTCTGACTCCCAGGGCACAGTTTAAATGGTTTGAATAATTTTTTCTGGTTAGCGTATTTTTAGCGAGTTAGTTTTCTACGGGATGGGGTCACTAACACCATGCCCAACCCTCCTCCTTTATCCGTGCTTGGGACCGGCAGTAGCCCCCGGAAAGACTCCAGGTGGAGTAGATGCTTAAACGTATTTTGCATAAAATCATAAAATATATGCGCATTTCTTGTAGTTTTGTAAATAAACAATTTGTATGATGATGCGTATGAACAATATTAAAAATATTAGTGATACCCTTATCAATATGTCCTACGCCAACTGTGTAATCTTTACACTATGTTATAAGCATCATAAGGTCAACAAATGAAAATTTGAAAACTCACCATTCTATGAATAGATGATGACATATGATGAGTTAGTGAAGTTTTTAACCTGACATCATTAGATAGATTTGGACAAAACACCATAGTTTGTATACCTTTATCTTGCTTTTCTTCTATAAACTAGAGCAAAAGTGAAATGTAGAAGAAACAAACAATAGTACATCAAATTTATGAAAGAATCTGTGTGTATCAGATAAGTGTAAAAAAAATCTTTCAACGTAAATTAGTATCAACAACTTCACATTTTATTATGATGGATTAGTGGAGATTGTTGAGTTTTATAGTTAATTTAGATTGATGGATTATAAGTAAACAACCAGTAAGAACCACAAAGCATAGGACAGTTATTTTGTTCTGTCACGAGACTCATTAGAAGTCTGCATCTAAAACCACTCCGAATCGAACATAAGTTATTATGTATACAAATAAACATCTATTGGATTATAAGACATGGAGGTCCTGACAACTGAAGTCAATGAGGTATTCGACAGTTTGAATATTAATATTAATAAACCATCTCCAGAACAAAATGGAGTTGATCACAGTAGTAGTAGTTCCGAATCAAAGAACTTAAGTATTAACCTTTGAATATTGACACTTTCAATAAAAGATATAACTAAACGTTAGTTGGAAACGGTCGGTAACCATCATTTTCAACCTTAACTAATATAATTTTTTAAAATTAATATTAAATAAAGCGAATTGAGTTGAAAAAAAAACTATCTAAACTGTTGACATACTTCCAATGATTGTTTCGTTTGTTCCATTTCTTTTTGGCATGTATTTATTCGATCAAGTTGTTTTCTTAAATTGGAAATTTCCAATTTACATTTTTCAATTTGATCTTGATAAAACTTTTGATTATTGTTATTGGTTGTACTACTGTTAGGTGTATCTGATTCATCTACAATAGTCACAATTGATTCTTCTTCCTCTTCTTTTACAACTATATGACTAAGTACAGCAGCGGCTGAAGTTGTATTCCAGGTACGAGAACGAGTTGTTGTTTTTGTAGTTCGAGTAGGCTGATTAGAATAACGGGTATTATCCGAATGATTTATATTATCGTTAGGATTTGATGGTATTAAATTTAATTGTTCACGTGAGTTCTGAAAATTAAAAAGAATGCACTTTTAACCCGTTATCAATTATGTGTTATAAAACAAGCACCGAATATTAAGTACGACAAATCCGGTTCGATTGAATTACATGTATTTTGAAAATATAGGAATAAAACATTACGATTAATGTGAAAACAGTGAAATGTTGAAGGTTGATAGTAATAAAACCACGGAACATTCAGTACGAACCTAATGATAGAAGACTATCATCATATTGGTTATGAAATATTACAAATTGACTGAATAGTTGTACAAGCATGAAGTATAAATATTAGTTCTATATAGGAGCTTTGTTGACCATCAGTGGAAAATCATGTTGCATTTGTAATCTATGAATTAGCTTTTATAATACAATTAACAGAGATATGGTTTACTTTTTGTTATGCCCCGATAAGCATAATCAATGGTAAATTTAGGATCCATTTATGGACTAATACTATGCGTATATTTTTATCGTATAATTGTTATGTAACTGAAATATTCATATTCATGTTCCTCTTATCATAAGCTTTATTTTGACCCATAAACTATTATTATACGACTTACCATTCTCGAATTATGCTATTAATTACTACCTCCCTCATTCACAGCCACTTTTGGCTAATTCTTGTACAAATGTTGTTTCATATTTTATGGTACAATGTGGTTTGTCTGGTTGGTAATATAAACCCACTATGCTTGAAATAAATGATTCATATTGCAGAGGCTGAGATTGGTGTTCTGGACTCAACTGGCTGGGCTAGGCGAAAAGCAGGACCAATCAAGACTCTAGACTGCTCGTACGGGTTTTACGTGTCATCGGTCCGATCGGTAATTCACAGCTCTCCAAATGGCAGTATCTTTACGTTATTCATTAACAGGGAGCACGGGCCACACTTTTGACCAGAGCTTACAGTATGACCATATGGAGGAAACGAATTTACGTAATTAACGGTTATATCAATTGTCATTATAATCAACTTGATGATAAGTGATGGTTAAAGGTAATTAGAAACTTTAAAAACCGATATCTTGCATACAGACTTCATGAAATAATCTATGTCAAGTGTTTATCGAATCGGTTGTCTAACGAACACAATTCAAGCTAGTGTTAAGCAGTAACACATAGACAAATGTAAGTAGTAAAATATTTGCATTAAATTTGACTTTACCAAACAAAAAAAAAAAACAGAGGAGACTTAATGCACGTCACTTCTATTCTGGAGAAGTGACTTATTGCGATATCACGAAACATATATAGAAGATTAACATTCTACTCAAAACTCAATTTATTTGATACTATATCACGTCCAACCTTGTTATTGTGACCTACAAACTCATTAATAAACGAGACATACATTTGAAGAAAAAAAAGATTAAAGATTAGTATTTCAAATGTCACAGTAACTCATCAATAACCTAATAAAAAGTAAATAATTAAAAAAAACAAATATGTGATAAATGATGACACTACCAAACTATTGTTTTTTCTGTGGTGAGAAATACTACTTGAATCATCGTGAAAAATAAACATTTTTAAGTTGATGAAAGTACTTAATGTAGGAAAATGTAAGACAGAAATCATTTGAATGAGTAAAACGAATCAATCACAAAAAATGTTCAATTACATCATATGTTGTATTTACAAACGATTATTTATGGGGATATTCAAGGTTGAAGGGAGTTTTGAGAAAAAGGATAATTTATAACCATTTATAATACACCATAAGGTCATTTGATAATAGAACGCCGAAGACTATTGTTGTGTTAAATATGAACATTTGAAAATCCCGTACTGATAACTTCGTCCTAAGAATTTGTATTTTTCGATTGTTGATTCCAACTAATTAGTCTCTGCCGGGATATCTGTATCTTGAATGGATGTCGCAATATTGTCTTTGTTAAAACGTTTCTACTATCTTTGGATCATGGATGACAGTGGAATTCATGACGCTGATAAATCCAGCCAAAGAGTCGCAAATAAACGCTCAGTAGTCAAAATTCTCAGTTTTCAGTCACAAATTTAGACCTGACTCTATCAACTGAGGCTTGAACAGTCGAATAGTATCATCAGTCATCATATGAAATGTGGATCAAAACCAAGCGAGGTAGACCATGTAAAATTCTGATTATCTATCACTAAAATGGTTCATAAAATTATTATTATTGTTGAGTAAGGAGTGAGTGCTTTACACTGTCTTAGGTGGAAACGGAAATTGTTAAGTATGCTTACAAGCATTCTGAATTAACAACAAAGTTATTTAGTTTCGCTTCCAAGAACTATGATGTGTAAATGAGTAGAATAAGGAAAATTTACACATTTATTTTGTAATACATTGAAACATACCACTGTTTCGAGGTCTTTAACCTCATCATCAATAGCGATCTGCACCTCCATATCAACAGAATCAATGGTTGCTTCTACAAACTTATCAAACTTGGTCACTTCAACCTAGAACCAAACGAAAAATATAACAGAGTATTAAACACGAATAAATTATAGCAGTAGTGCTATACTGTTGGGGACGTTAGATCCCTAGAACTCACTTGGGAAAGGACCTAACTGTGTAATTTTATTTAGAAAATTTGAATTTCTTTGTTTTCGCGCCAAAGGCGCTATTGTCACCTTCATGTTGTATTACCCACTGGGAAATATCTTAAATGCTATTGTTCCGTTGCGTCTTTTATTATTCTATTTGGTAATTCTCCCCAAGGACGATTTTGTACTGTATATATACGTTTTGAATTGTGTTTGTTGTTATCGCTCGTTTCTGGCTGTTTGCAGAATATACTTCCTCATTCCAAGCTTGAACTTCTCCCTCTAGTTAGCGGGGCTGGGACGCATCAATAGCTAGCTTACTGGTCTTTGGTCACCGAGTCTTGTTTCTCGTTCGCAGATTAAGTGAACTCGTGATAGCTTCAACCCTAGCATAAACTAAGCTAAACGCTACTACAACCAAATATGATGTAACTTATTAGTTAATAACCAGATCATAGTAATGAAACTGGGTCAATATAATCAACATAGAAGATGAGATTAGATTCAAACTTACGAACAATTGTTGTTGAAAATTGAATTTTATAAATGATCAATAAAAATATTGGACTAACGATATAAGATCATATATCCACCATATTTTTAAAAAATGTAATTACATGGTAGTTCAATGAAATTTGGAAACCTAAAATATAAATTAACTACTTGTTGTTAACACAAACTATTGAAACCATGATTTCGTCCTTACAAAATATAAACTTTATTCCCCAATGAATATGATTACACGATTTCAATGTCCTTTTAAAGGTCATCCAATAGAGCAAACGTTAAAGGAATTGAATTCTGAGGAATGTTTTTCAATGCACATCCTGACAGATCATCAAATTAACTTATAATGTGACTGAATGATTAATTGAATATTGTTATATACAATATTTTGATTGTCATACACTCGTATTAAGATTAATTATCATAATTCATATGATTATATAACTTTGTAACTGTTAATCTTATTAACTGAGATACCATAAATTAAACTAACTTATGTTTCAGTAATTTATAGTATTTTTGATGGTGATTTCAAATTGACAATTATTTTTTCAGATACATTTTTAAAGCAGCATGAATGTATTGTATTTGCGTTGTAAATTGAATAAATTATTCAATGTTTACATATTTTTTTCCACGAAACGTAAAACCAACTCTCCTACCTTTCCGGTGTAAGTAACAAAAATCATATACTTTTAAACAATCAATAGAAATCTGAAGACAAATTTTTAATTTATCAATACAGTTGCTTTTTTTTAATTAGTTGACTTATCAACAAACTATTTAACTGAAAAATTCCTATGATCATTAATGTTAGTTTTACATTTCAATAGGATCAATGAAGTTAATTACATTAAAAGTGTAGATAAATGTACTATTTCTATAACAAATAAAGATCAATCTTAAATGTTATGCACTGAAAACCCGGAAACATTGGACGGTCGTTTCATCATGATGTGAGACGCCTCAGGAGTGTGTATTGACGATCTCACTCGTTGAATTCGAACCCAGGACCTTCAATCTCGTGCGTGAATGCTTAAACTCTAGACCACTGTGCGGTATCCAATGGTGTTAATGTCTAAAGTCAAACAACCGACGATACTGTGAGACAACCTTCCATTGTCTTCAGTGAGTAACTGCCTCACACTATATACGGATTAGCTCTACTGGTCATGGGTTTTCACCAGAACTCCAAGAAATACCACTCGAAGCTAGTCACTATTGAGCACATAATAATTACCAGACTTTACTGTTCACTGTTTCTAAGCATTTCAAGTGATTTGGATTAGTTCGAAAGTAAATAGATTTTACAACTAAGTTAATATATTTACTAGCATAAATTTGTTTTTTTTGGAGTTCTTGATCACCAATCTAATATATATAAACATATATCTGACAATTCAAAAGAATGATCCTTGCATTTTGAAAAAAATAATGTTAAATTGTCAGGTTCAAAACCTATTCAATTAATGATAATAATTTTAAATTGCATAATATTTTGATTCATTTAGACAAACGTCATAAACAATTATATTATATTTGCAGCAAACTTTATATATATAAGTATCTTAAGACGTAAACACCGTTCGATGCCGGTTTAGTGGTCTAGAGGTTAAGCGTTTGAGCACGAGATTGAAAGCCCTGGGTTTGAGTGCGGGATCGTAGATGCGCACTACTGAAGAGTCCCAACTGGGTCTAACAATGATCGGTTCAGGATCTTAATTAAAAGTACAAGTGAATTAATGAAATTAAACTACTACTAACCTGCGTACAAGCATCACATAAATTCACTTGATGCTGTTGTATATAAGCATTAGAATCATTAATTACTTTTACTTGTTTGGTATCAATCTCATCTGAATAATTTTGAATGTCGTAATTTTCAGATGTATTTGTCTCGGAATCAAGGAAATTACTGTGCTTATTGATTGTTGGAACTGTATAAGGTTGCCAATCATTTTGTTGGTCAACATATTTATATTGATTCTGTGTTATTTGATTGTTTATATTTCCGCTTAATATATCATCATCAGAATCACTAGGTTTACTCCATGATACAATATCCCGTGATTTAGATTGTACAGATGTTTGAATATTTGGTTTGATAGAATCATTTTGACATAAATGTTCCATTTTTAAATCAGATATCCAATGAGGTACGAAGTTATTTTGTCCTGTTTCTTTTATATTCGACGGTGTAGTACAAGAATCTGTATCACTAGTATCCACTAATTTATATGACATCACCTGTGATCTGTACAAAAAAACGGATGAAGCAAAATTACTTAGTAAAACGATAGGTATATTTGATATGTACCGATCACAGAATGGAAAAAATACTAATGACAATGTTACACAAACATTTTAAAGAATAGTTCACCAAAATCAATGATCTGAAAAGTGGATTACTTTGTGAACCTAAGTTGGACGAAATCAGAAAGTTCCAATTTGTTACAACGAAAGTGCAATGAGAAAAAGTAATGTTCAATTAGTGAATTCCAATAGATAAATAAAACATTGTTGTACTTAGATGAATTTTATTTAATAAGTATAGGTTTATCAACTCAGTTGCTTAAGAGTTTTATGACAACCTTAAGTAACAATGAAGGCATGTATGGGATGCGGTTTTCCCCCTTCATATACAAAATACTACATCAATATTGGCTTGCGTCATCGTCTGAATTACTGATAAGGAGTGAAGGAGAACGTATAGAAAACTTCTCCCATCTTGTGAGTCTCATCAGTCCTGATGGACTGGTGTCTGACAAAATCTCATCACAGGTTCACAAAGCTCATTAGGCTTCTGATAAATTGCATCCTTTGTGAAGTAGGGGAGATATGTCTACCAACTAACTAAAGGATGAGTTTGTTGTGCAGCAGTGTTAATAGGTGTAGACTACCTGGTTGGGGTCCGCGCGCTTATCGTCATCAATGGTTAGACTTTGAATTACATGGCTCAAAGTCGTTTGGAATGGCACAAACGTCGTGATGTTAATCTGACTGTAAAACGATAGATGCAGTTTTGCTCTATGCTTGTGAGACCTGACCTCTCCTAGTTAGAGATGTTAGACGACTCTCTGTGTTTGATTACCGTCGTCTCCAAAGGATTTCTAACATCCAGTAGCAACACCATTTTAGTAATGCAGAAGTTCTTCATCGTGTGTTCGGACACAACGATGATGATTCAATTGTTGTCACTATCGTGAAACATCGACTTCGGTGGCTTGGACATGTCTTACGTATGTCTACGTAGAGAATTCCACATCGTGCATTATTTGCCGACGCTGGGGCCGGTTGGAAAAGGTGAAAAGGTCGTCTGTGAATAACATGGTGTCGTGATATGAAAGAAAGTTGCAAAGAATTGGCTTCTGCTGGTCCCTCACAGCCCCCTAGTTAGGGTCCTAGAGATGGCGCAATTCAGTGGCTAGAGACGTTATCAGACAAGGCTCAGGATCTATATATATATATATATATATATCCTATTGTATAACTATTCAGCAATTAGATCGTGTATATTCATACCAATCTTATTATAAGCTTCATTTTAACTTATAGATTATTATTATACGGTTTACACTTCGTAAATTATGTTCAGTTTATTCATTACAGTCTCCCACATTCACAACCACTTTCTGGCTTGATCTTGTACAAATGTTATTTCCTTTTTTATAATGTGATGCGGTCTTTTGGCTGGTATATAAGCCAAGTATGTTTGAAATAAATTATTCGCATAGTGGAAGCTGGTATTTGTGTTCTGGCGAGCAAATGACCAACAAGGACGCTAGGCTGCTCACACTGGTCGAACGTCATTGGTTTAGCACAGTACTAAGATTGAATAAGTCGTATTTAGATTGGCGAATAAATACGTGATAAAAATTCGGGCATAAATACAACAAATTTCTTCCGATTTTATTCTTCCTAACTGAACTGTTTTCTCCATTATTATTATTATTATTATTATTATTAGTATCATTATTATACACTAATTTCTATTCGTCGTTGTTCTTTTAATATACGCACTTTACATTCTCTATCTCTTCACAACCTCATACGAATTTGGTGCCCCCTTGTACCAATGTTTATGTGTTCAAATAAATCTAACTTAACATTTTAATAAATAATATAATCAACCTTAATAGTAAGTGAAACTAACTTTTTCATTTCAAGTTCACTTTTAAGACGACTTAATTCGATACGGAATTCCTCTCGTTCTAATTCTCTTTCTTCTATTTGCTCATTGAGGAATTTCTCCTACGCGAAATTTGGAAGAAATAACCAAGAACTCATAAAAACTAGTTGTGCATTGGTAAAATAAAAATGAAAAATTTAAATAGCCCCTCCGCCACACAACAAACTGGCAAACGAGAGTAAAAGTATAACTTATCTAAAACACCATCTTATCATTTTAGATTGTTCTATAAAGGAGGGTTTTACTGAGTTTAAAGAAATCAAATTTTCGACCGTTATAATGGAAAGATAGAATGCTGATCAGTAGATTAAAGAAGTGATATGATATGAGATCGAGTGAAGGTTATTTACGAGACTGAATAACTAATGTAAGCCCATTAATGATATAAAATCAAAGACAAAGCCATTGGCTAGAAGAATAGGATTTTCTTTGTCGGTCAGACAGTCATGTGAGATCCAGAACCTGGGACACATGTGCATCGGTTTATGTTGTCACATCTCATTAGGACAGAGAGATTTACTTATCAAGAAAAATCCCAGAGTAGTAGAAGTAATAACAATGTCAGTGATAGAAAGAAAGATTAGGTGTAGAAGAAAAAGTATAAGATTTCGTAACTCGGATTGTAAAGGAAGATAATAATTAAATTCATGTGTTTCATTCAAACAGGTTACGGTAATCACGCGGACCTCAACCAGGTAATCTACACCTATTAACACGACTCAGTCCAATTGTAAATGAATTCATAGACTCATGCCATGTTTTGTTATAGCCGACGCTACTTCTACATCACATAGCATCTCACATCAAGGCAGGCGGTGGTTAGACGTATGTAACAGATCCCAACCCCCTATGTTGATGAAGATCCATTACACTATCAATCGACCTGCCATCCTTGCCTAGTACGCTAACCCTAACCTAATCATCACTTATTAGGTGACACTGAATTACTCAAGAGATAGTTCGATGACACATGATCGAATACTAGTTGTTGGGATATTCAGGAAAATATCCCAAAAATTATTCTATTAAGTCTAATGCTATTCTTGGACTTGAGATGGTATCATTTTCCTACTGGTCATTACTTATTTCACGTGTCAAATGTTATTTTCTATTTTATGGTCTGCTTGATTGGTATATAAACAGAATATGCTTGAAATATAATGATTCATATCTCAGAGGCTGAGACTGGCGTTCTGGACTCAACTGGCTAAGCCAGACAGGGGGGCAGGATCAATCAGAACTCTAGGCCGTTCAAGCCGGTTTACGTGTCTTTGATCCGATCGATAGGTCACTGCTCTCTAATCGACAGTCACAAGTTATAACATTAGTAACTTGCGAATACTATTTATTCTTAATGGTTTTGCTTCACACATAAAATAATATGATATGACACGTCTATATACAGAATCTTAACACAAAATTAACATGATTAACTGTCATATGACATTGAAGGAAATCAATCTGTAGGTCATTCACTTTACAAACGATTAAGACCGAACTGTCAGGCATAATTCTTGAGTATAGAATCACACTAATAACACAATTATCCTAAAGTTAATGTAGATTGAGAACCAAGTTGGGCAAACTGCAATCCCCCACGCTAAAAATCTAAACCTAAATTTAATAAACTTTACTAGACAAAATTTCAGAGATTACTGTTTAAAACTGTAATGGTCCTCCTATTAATGATAAGACACAAAACACATTTACCATTTCCTGAATTCGAAACAATTATTGGTGATCTGTTCAATACAATACCAATAACAGTTAATGTGGATAATATGTAAAAGATTAACTGAGACAGACATGGGGTTCAGATATGAAACGAACCAGGATACGATTTATTTATTATTAATTCTAAATATTATCTTCATTAAAAAGAAAGTCATGTCGAATGACTGACATACTTTAGCTTGAAGTTTTTGTTGAACTGAGAATATTTCATTTTTTAATTCACGATTAATTAATTCCATTTCATCAAGTTGTTGCATCAGATCATGTCGATTTGTCTCCAACTCTACTAATGATGCAGTATGATTCCGTTCAAATTCTGAAAGTCGACGATCCATTTCAGCTTGCAATTGAATACGTTCTGTTTCAACAATTTGAGATGTTTCCAAAAGTGCTAAAGATTTACAAAACATTTACAATGCAGAATAAATTATAGGCATATAAATAATTTCTTATACAGGGGATCAAAAATAAGATATATATTATTATACCGAGACAAGGGTAATCCAATTATATGAGCTACAACGAAAAAAGTAATAATTTAATTAAAATACAATCCCTTTAAATAAGAATGTTGTATAACATCTGAAACAAGAATGATGGACAGAAACAGCTTTACTGAACAACGTATAAGGATTTCAAGGAACGAGTTCATGTATCACAGTACTAATTAACTATGAATTTTGACAAACATATAGTGTAACAATTCACAATAAGACTGAATGCATTAATTTGAATGTAGAAAAAATTCGAATAGGATTATAAAGACAATTATTTGATGCCCTCTATAATTCAATAATCGATAGCGGATTTATACAGAATTATTTGTTACTAAAGTCATAATGAACTGATGTGAATTACTGAAAAGGATTTTCACATTATAACGTCAGCATTCAAATACTCAAATCATTCTCAAACAAATACGAACCATAGAAAAGGGTTTGAAAGCAAATAAATGTTATGAAACACATCATCACGACAAGACTTACCAATCTTTGTATCTACAGGTAATTTTTCAGTTAACAACTGATGAGCGGTAAGTAACTGTTCACGAAGATTACGAACTAGTTCACAGTTTTCAATATCAACATCAAGTTGATTTAATTTTGATATATCTGTTGATTCAATTAGTTTTTCACATCCAATTTTACATAACGTGAGAAGACGATCTATTTCAGGCAACAACTGCCCAAATATAGCTGTTTGAGAAGAGTAAACAATATACGTATTATGTACGCTCACACAACTGAGGTACGCTGTTTAGTCTTCATAGATAATGGTTGAAAAACTGAAGGTTTTAAAATTTTAAAAGAAATTCTGAGTCACAAGAAACATCCCAAAATTATCACTTCGATTTGTCGAGAAACCCTATCTTGCATGTTATAGTAAAAGTGGTGTAATGGTGAATCTATAATGCAGTCATTAAGCCTAATTTAGACAAAAAGCAGCATTTCCCCGAACATTAAAGAGGTGCGACTAATAATTTATGATGGGAACTTACACAGATAGCATACTATTTCAGAAGTAATATATCAACTGAAAACCTTAAAAGTGTATTCACAAATAACTTATGATCATATTTTTCAATAACAACTGCTAAAAAACAATGACTACAGAATACCTGCGAAATTGACCTGTACACATAAATCCCTATAAAAGTAGTAGCTTAGAAGAAAACCACTCAGATTCCAACCTGTAATTTTTAGATTCGAACTTTCCCCCTGATACGGCCGAGGATGGGGAGTGTGCTCTCAAACTCCAAATGCTCTCACGTGGCCACGCGTAAGCAGACACTGCCATGGACGTCCTACACACAGCAATCTCGTGGCGGGGGTGTTGTTTACGAAATTAAGAGGACAAAAAGCGAATATCCGGCACTTTAACCGGATTGCTGGACACACAGTATCCACCTAGGGGAGTTGTTAAGCCCTGACTTCAAACAAGTGGTGCACATGGGCTCCAGAATCCTGAGGAAACAAATGGCGTATGAACTAATTGTGGGTCACCGGCTACCATGGAACTGCATCTCCTTACGATGCTCCACCGCTTTGTGGATCAGGCCTTTAGGTCGAAGGCTTCGTGCGTGGCCCCCTAAGAAAACCACCTGTTTTGGTCTGGGCACCTGGGCAGTATCGTAGCCCACACACAAAATAAGTGATTTATGTGACTCATAGAAATTCAGTGCTCCTTTGTACCGATATTTCTGTGTTCAAATAAATAAATAAGATTCGAACCCAACTCCACATCAGGTATATGCAGTCTTAAAATATTACAATTAAAGTTATTCTAAGCTTAATATAACATCTGACAAAACATAACAATTTCAAACATATTCTGACAATAATAAATTCAAAAAATAACTTCAGTACTAGGAAAACAAAAATAAAACGACAAACAAAAACCAATTTTAAAATTCCATCCAAAATAAATACTCAAACAGAATAGAAATACAACATTAAGAAAGCAATATTGGTATACACACATTTTAGTAAAAGTTAATAAAACTATGTTCAAAGCGCATAATAAGAGAAAATTTATGTTTGAGCTCTTATCTATTTATATTATTAATAATAGACTCGTAGGGATTGTCACATTGCATAGATTTAACCAATTACTGAGTTTCAATCATTAAACATTTTACAATAATCAACAATAGTATCGAAGCTTTAAAATAATAATAATAACAACTCAAAGTATCCACAAATAGAATTAGCATTAGATATGATTTTACACAAACCAACATTTTTATTAAAACAATCCCCTTTTCATTAAATGATAAAAATAACATTAATATGAATTAAGACATTGACTTGGATATTACGTTTTTTTCTATGAATCAAAGTAGAAATACTTTTTGGAAGCTGTTAAAATGACATAAAATTGTTTAGTATAAATAAATTAATATATTTGTAATATCCCAATGAGTAGAAACATTAGATTTTCTGACGTTTCGTCACTTAGTGCAAGGCACTTCTTCAGAGAATAAATAACCAAACCAAAATTAATCCAAGTTTAAATAGTATAACGAAAATTTACAAACAAGTCTCTTATGAATCACCTTTTGCCGAAATGACATGACATTGATTTATTCAGACCTGTTTTTTGATTGATCACATAACATTCATGTTGTTCCGTTGTAGCATTTAAAAGTCAGAAAATCTAATTTGGGATATTACAAATAGATTATTTATTTATAACAATCTACCAATGCTCAATTTACTCAAAATTACTAAATCAAACCTTAGTATTTAGTATATTTTTTTATTACTTGAGATATAAATAATATTATTCCAATCACTAACTGATTATCTTGAATACCCTGAATGGAGAAATTATCTAACAACTTGTAAATCAATGTTATCGTTGAATAAATAATTTAATATCATAGCACGAAGAAAACTACAAAAAGACATTTGACACTGTTTGGTGTTCAAGAAAATGAACAATTGTTAAAAATAGTTTTTTTAAACACTCTGACACCTTACTTTTCATCTATTAGAGCACATTGTTTCAACCTTACAATAGCGCTAATTTCAGATTTTTATAAACTAAAATTTGGTATAATCGTTGGATTCATGAGTGGATCCGATTTAGACCACCATTGAAAACCAGGAAACACTGAACGGCTGTTTCGTCCTAGTATAGGACTCTTCAATAGTGTGCATGCATGATCCCACATGCGGGACTCAAACCCAGGACCTTCGGTCTAGAGAGCGAGGGCATAATTTCTAGATCAGTGAGCCGGCTTCTAATGGTGTTAATATCTAACTTCAATCGGTCCATAATCTTGCGCAACCATTCACCCACTGTCTGAGGTAGATACCTGTCTCTACCCGACACAGATTGGACTCAACTGGTCACAACTTCTTACTAGAACTCCAGGAAATACATGTTGATGCTAGTCACTAGTGAGCACATGATTATTATAAAAATGGAGCTTCGTGGAGATTGCAATAATATTAAATGACTCCTGCATGCAGGATGCGCACTACTGAAGAGTCCCATACTGGAACGAAACAGCCCTCCAGTGTTTCTAGGTTTTTAATGATGGTCTAGTTTAAATCGACTCATAAATTCAACTGATAAGAATTTATTCGACCAAAATAAAAACTAAAGTTTTGCACTACAACACCAATGTAAACCAACAAAAGTACAATTAAAATACTCATTATTCCCTATCCCCTATTTAAACACAAAATATCACAACAAGTACTGAACAATTACATTTGGTTATCCATCAATCTGATATCATTCTTTTATATTAAAAATAATAATAAATCGTCTAAAGAAAATTTCTACTGATTAAAATATTAAAATCAACCTACACGTTAAAAACTTGCAATCTGTTCGGAAATGATCTAAATATTTTGTATCGCATATAACATTGGTAACCAGTAAATGATCACATTCATTCAAGTAATCATTAAGTTGAACTAAAGAGAAAGTAGAGGAGAATATGATGAATGAATTCTAAGAAATAAGTCACTTCATGATAAAAGTTTATCCTACTCTTACAAACAAAGAATAAGAAACACAATAAAACGTAAATGTATGGTAGTATTTAGGAATAGAGAAAAACGTTTTCATTTAATTATCTATAAGCAAAAGCAAGCATAATATTCTAGATCGAAACAGAATCAAGGCAGAAACGGAGAGGAAAATAAATAAATTAGAATGAAACATATGAGAGCACAAAGGGAAGTATCCAAGTGTAACAGAATGATGAGGGTTCAATGCAAATGAAGCAGGTTAGATCATTTAAAACTCAATTGCTCAGTGTTTGAACATGTAATATATGAGTTTACCACTATTAACAACTTATGAGCTATATACTAATTGAAAATCAGTGGATGAAAATCTTAATGCCACCGAACGAAATGATTACAAACGCTAAAAATAGCCACATTATTGTTATTATGAACTTTTAACGAATTAAGTAAATTTAGAATACGTTACTGTGTAGAACAGAAAAGGAAACAGTTTACATAATAGATGTAGAAACATTTCTCAACGAAGCTACTGCACAATGTATATTTAACTGGAGAAATCAACTAAGAATTCACCTTACATCGTTACCAAATCAAGCTACTGGATAATTCACTCCAGAAACACCTGGATACTTCCAGGCAAAAGCTTTCCTCATAAAGTTTTCCGAACATATTTATAAAATAAATACAACGAAAGTAATCATTAGTGATGCATACTACTTGTCGATAGTGAAAATAGGAGATATTTTCCAATGCTATTTTACAAATTAAACTTGGAAAGAAATATCGATCAGATGTAAATGTGAATAACAATAATAATATACTCATCAGTAAATGAACATAGAATGGCTGATATTGTCCAAAAGGACAATGAATGCTTCAAGACTAAACCATCTAATTCAAAGAACGACACTTCATCTAGAAAGAATAATAACATTGAATATAAGGTAGTAGTTTAATATAACAAATTAAATGTTATTCCATTTTATTCGCGTGTGTAAACACATACTGAATATAAACTGAATTTCATTACTACTTCAATTGTCAATTACACGTCATAATGTGAACAATTCATAACATGGAATTATTTTAATAGATTAAAGAAAGTGAACAATAGAAAAGACAATTTTTAGATTTTATTTATAATAATTGTGAGAAAATTTTGGATTTTGTATTAAAAAATTTTATGTTTTCATAATAGCTAACATGAAAGTGAATATTAGGTTCAAGCGATTACCGTAAAAAATGATTGAGGACATTGATTTAGAATCGATTGAAACGGTCAGATGATTTTAATCTTTGAATTCTTGAAGATCTTGACTTTCTAGAATTATCTTTTACCTTTTATTCCGTGAAATTCATTCATTCTTCCCTAATCATATTCTCTATATCTGGTCATTTTTTATCATCACCAGTATTATTAATATTTCTACTACTTTGGTATACATTTTGATCATTTCATCTTGATATACTGATATACTGACATGAATTAAATAGCGCTAACATACTTATATACGAAATTTTACGACGTCGCTCACAACTGACTGACGATTTTATGCTGAATGTTACAAGCACAATATATCATTATAGTCTCATGTCGATATAAATAAAAATTACTTTAATTAATAATACAATAAAAACATAAAATTGCATGACATAAATCAACAAACTATCAATCTATACCTTTTAATTCATTCATTCGTTCTTGTTCACTATTTTTCATATCACAATTCAATGATAAATTATTATTCATCCATGAATATTGATCATTGATACGTGCAGTTAACTCATGTTTCAATGTTGTACTGATATCAATTATGGACAAAATCATTTTATGATAAAATTCTAGACAAACTGTGTAACTAGAGAACATGAAAAATGAAGGAGAGAAAAAAAACAGGTAACAATCACAAATAAATAGAAAAAACGAGGGATTATTGATTCGTTTTTTTTTATAAAAAAATAAAAATAGAACTATTTTGAAATGAAAAATTAAATAAATAAATTCATTGAATGTGAAAGATATTTTCTGTTCAATAACAAAATTCATAGAAGGAATGAAAAACAAAAGTGAATTGTGTTAGTGACTAGTGAGTTAGAGATAAAATGAAAAACAATTATAATTGTTTATAGTATGTTACTAAATTTTATTTAAAATATGAACTAAAGAATTTACATTAGTCAATAAGATATTACTAAGTATGCATCAATTAAATGATAAATGTAAAATATATGATGAAAAAAAAATGAAAATTCTCTATTAGTATGAGATGATGGAGAAGATTTGTAGCTCAGATAGTTTGTGCTGATGATGTCGTTCAGAAGAACGATGAAAGCTCCACGACCAAACCATCCAGCTCAGAGGACAAAACTCCACCAAAAAAATCTCTATTAGTATCCTGTACATTATAAGATATTATATATGTTGAGTAGGATCTATGAAGAGAATTTTTTTAAGAATATATGTGTAAAGTATGAGACAGTGATTGATGAAATATTTGGTAGTTTGCTTTCTTTCTTTTCTTTTTTCTTAATTTTGCATAGAAAACAAGTAAATTATGTGAGAAAAAAGTTGTATGATACACAGAGAATAAACATTTTTGTAAATGACAGTAATTGATGGTCCCGACCTTTGTTGCTACCTTGATGTGGTGGTCGGGCTTGCCTATCGTGATGAAGCAACTGAGCTATATTGGCTGGAACAACCGTTCCTCTAGGTCCTACCATGTCAGACAGGTCGGTTGAAGAGCGGTAAGACGAAAACCAACAAACCTAAGGACCGAAGGCGAAGTCGTACTGCTGACTGTATAGAGGTGTGACAGCAGTAAGGTGTTTCCTTCAGACAACCAGCATCTGCAGCGATGCTGCCTTCCCACAAGGAGGGGTGGGTTAGAAAAGGTCGACCCTAAAAATGAAAACTTCGACTTATCCCACGGATATCCGTCTCCTGCGGTTAGGTCTCAACAAGTACGGAGCTAACAAAAAATTACTCATAAAAATGTCGTGTGTGACCGACCTCAAGCAGTTGTCCCTTCGGCACTGCGGTCACGCTCCCAGGTCACTGAGACCACTTCTAATCCGATTTCCTTTTCAGGTACCTCCAGAAGAACCCATCCACGGTGTGGGCAACCGGGAAGTGATAACCGCCCTCACACCTCTAACAGCACTCAAGACCACTAATTGATGGTTTGATCAGTTCAGATAAGAGTACGAGATGAAAGTCATCAACATTATGAACATTTAGTGGAAATGCCAAAGACGGAACAAGTATGTTGTCTAAATCAGTGTGGAGATTACGTTACTTACCAACTTATTAGGGTTGATGAGACATCCAACACGGAAAATGGTCAATTCTTAATAATAAAAAGTAAAAACTAAACTAGAGTTTCGATGAAGCCGTTGCTAATGATATTCTATTTGGGGGAAATTTTTTTATTCGACCGACTAACTTCTAACTACCTTAACATTAAATTAATTCAATATTAGCCCACAAATAATTGTAACGCTTAATCATTCGATTAAAAAAGGCTAACATAAACTGTTCTACCGGAAAATATTGCTATTATTCAACCTGAGACCAACAGAATAGGAGTTTAAACATTTCAAGCATAAACAATTGCACTACATAGTATTAACTTAGCATAATAATGTACAATATAAACGAAGTGACAAACAGAAATGTTATACAAACATAATTTTGGAAACTTTCATTAGAGATATACTACAATGAATTTGAGTAAGTTCATGAAATCTCTCTAAAAATGAGATGGAAAGCTTATTTGTAGTATACCACTCAATGAAATGTTAACGCTGAATTAAACAAATTATGATTCAAATAAAAAATATATCAGATAGTTTTTATTTAAGAAAGAAGCTAACAGAAGTAGGTTATAGTTAAATACTTAAGCAAACAGTTTTTACCGTTGAGAAAATATTTTCACAGCTGACTTAACTTTTATCAATAATACATAAGGTCATGAAAATAACACGATAAATTTTTCTATATCAAGCAATAATTACAATGCTTACGCAGATAATAGAAATTTAACTGGTATGCAAACTATGTACACAATAGTTTAGAGATTGTCAAATCTAAAACTAACTGGAATGAAAATAAAGAGTACTATGTGCTGAAGATTATCATGGATAGTAACTTTAATATTCGTTACAAAGCTTATCTCAATTTCTAGTAAATGTCTCAAGTTAAGAAAACTAACTTCATCGTATATTTTGAAATATACCTTTCAATTTTTATAACAACAGTAGTTGACAGGAAAACATTACCTCGATGAACTGCATACTTTAGTGTAGATTTATACATTTAAAATTTTAAAACATCAAACTAGCTATTTAGGTAACAATTCAACTTATCTTCCTACATAAAAATGATTCTCATTTATTTATTTGTTTTATACAAAACAGTCAAAAAGTATCAAATTATTTCAAAGACCTTGAACATACTAATGAACAGAACATATTGCAAAGGAATGAAGAGCATAGAACCTAACCTGATACACATGTGCTTAAACGTAAAACAGGAAGCGTAATTATCACCAGCGGCAGTAAATTATCATCGAACTATGTTACTAATTAATTGAAGTGGAGATTTTACCACTCGACTTCGGCTCTGGTTCCAATGATTAAGCGTTTGTCGCGAGACCTGGATATCCGACGTTCGATCCTGTGTTAGAACGGAACGGCTGTCTGGCATTCTCCGGTTCCTTATGGTACCTCAACCAAGATTAATTTACGGTGAGTGTAAACTATAATTTAAACCAATCTCTATAAAACTCCTTTCAACCAGATTAGTTTTTTTTTATAGATTTGGCAAATAAGATGAGAAAATGAAGTTTATCGAAATATACTTCTGATTGGACTATCTAAAATTGTCGTGCTACAACATCAGTAAAATGAGAACAAATCAACAAATAGAAAATAATCAAACAAAAGACTCAGTGTATATTAAAACCAATAGTATTGAAAACTAACCATAAAGGATACAGTTCGACTAAAAAAGAATAATAGATATAAATATTATTCCCACTCACTTTTTAATTTGATCATCACCATTCACTGTTAGATCGGGATCAGTTTGTAAATAGACAGAATGTGATAATATATTTATAACCTGAGAAAAATTAGTATCAATAAATATAAACTCATCAACTATGATCAAAAACAAATATGACAGTATATTAAAGATAAAAACGTATGACACTCATATATCTGTACATAGCAAGCAAGAAAAAACGTATGACTAAAGTGGGGGGGGGGGAATATTTACCATTACGAACATAAACTAGATACTATTCATAGAAAAAGGATGGACCTTGGCTAGTGGTGGAGTCCAGGACGCGCGTTTTGTCCTATTCGGGACTTGTGAGATGGATGTACCTGGGCCGTAGTGTTGATTTTCACACTGTAACTCAAACCCAGTACTATTTGCTGCAAAGTGCAAGACGTTAACCCATAGTCTAGAGGGCCAATAAACTGCTCAACACTGGCATATAGGATAAACCTAGCCGACGAGCTTCAAATAGGACGAGTGGTGTATCTTGGATCCTACTTCTAACGACAAATAATCCATTCCGAAATACTTGTGACAAAATAGTAATATCAAAGTTATCCGCACAAGAAACGCATGTACAAACAAAGACTGATCGAATGCAGTCTTGAATATCGACAAGATAATTCTAACCCTTATTATAAATCATATATAAGTACTGCTTGGATAAACATTCAGGAACTAATCGTAAGATTCAGTAACTTTCATTATCTGCACAAAGTTCAGCCTATTGACAATCTCATTACATCACAAATCATGTAGGATCAAACTAGCGCAAGTGAATAAACACTTTTAAACTTATGCAATGTTAATATGTTCAAAATAAAATAAACGTGAGAGTACTTGATTTAGTAAGTCGATCAACTGAAAAACTGAATAATTATATCAATGTTGTGTGACATATAAATAGTAAAAGTAATAAGTAGTATTGACTAATACAATGATAAATAATAATAAATAATATTAATTTTCCAATTTAAAAATGATCAAATCTAATTCAACCTACATCATGAAGGGGTAGAATGAAAAAAAATCCTTTTCAGAAGTAAAACTACCCTATAATAATCGATTAGTTTATGGTCATACTATTAGTATCGGTACTATCAACCAAAATCATGTCATCCACACTATGATGGCGACCAGTTTTATCGATTCATTTTTTCAGTGTCCATTAATTAGACAAATAACTGAAAGGTGCGCTTTATTTAACTATATTTATTCACATAAAGACTAATTATTTGGTAAATTTATTTCACAACATACTATAACTTAAATTTACCCATGGATGATTATGCACTGGTCAGGTCAATTTAAAAAGTGGGACAATTTAAGGGTGTGGCAACTTTAAGATGACGCATATATGTACGTATAAGGTAAAAGTTGCGTCCTTTTGAAAAAGGGCTCAGATAAAATACAAAACGACCGAAAACCCAGCAACATTAAATTTGACGAAGAAAAATTGATTATTTATTTTTAGTGATTCATTAGAAGGAACTTTATGTGAAAAGTAATGCATAGAATTGTTATCGTTCAAATAGCACGAAACCTAAGTTCAGAGATTCCTGTCAACTACCTCCAACCACCACATTACATCTCAGCACAGTGCAAGCGATGTCAAGTCACATAGACTAGCGATCAAATTGCAACTTAGTCGATAGAATCCGATCTGCACTAAGAAGAACCTGAAACACATCACAAACCAGTGATCAATAAATTGTAAAATGATTTGATATCAAGTACACGAAATTGTACCTGGTGAGTTATTAAATAATTTTAAAAAATTCAGGCTATTTATTTAGCCCATAAAGTATAAACTAATTATTGTACAAAGAAGAAAGTGAGATTTCCGGCAGATAATCCTCATGGAGAGATACTGACTTATGAATAAGTATGGACTGATATATATATATATATATATATATATATATATATATATATATATATATATATATATATATATATATATATATATTGTGTAAACTACCTTGCTACATTACTTTCTTACAAAACAACAAATGACCTTGAATGGTATTTACATCATAATTTAAAGGAACAAGGAAAATAACCAACTGAAATAATGGGCAAGATGACTATAATCGTTAATCAATTAAACTAAAATACAAGTGAGCTTTTCCTGCAGGGCGATCGAGAAAAAGATTGGAAAGTTGAAATAATGATTTATACGAATCATGGAAAGTGAATGAAAGACTATAATAAAAAACACTATATCTTTCTTAATAATGAAAAGATAAAAATTTTCTGAAACAAAAGTTTTTTTCAGTTGACCAAATAATCGTTTGATAGTAGTACCATCAAACAACATTACGATGGTTGGTTAAGTATAATTATGAGCCACACAAGACATGAGAGTGCTACAGAAACTACTTACTAAAATCAAAGGCATAGAGTTGTAAGTTGTTATCCAGTGCTTGGCTATAAAATAACTAGTACATTTAAGTTTAACTAAACACCATTTTGATGGTTTGAATATATGTGCATTTGAGTGGGATGAGAGAAACAAATGATCAAATAATACTATCACGTTATATATAAAATTCCTGGATATTGTCTGATGATGCAATAGTGACATTGTAGTGAGATTTAATACAACATGTAACCAGAAGCTAGATATGAATCAAAATTCTAATCCAAAGAATCTACTATAGCGTCCAGAAGTTTTTAATTCAATAAGATAATCAAAAAGGTAAGGAAAATTTTATTCTTCGTTAAAAATTGATTTTAATTCAATCCTCATCTCACTCGCATTTGACACCCGAAGACTAGCGGTTTGACCTGATCAGATAACTACATATGGATATTTTAAACACGTTTGATAAAATATAAATAAAAACAAAATCAACTAAATCTAAAAACTTCACCTTCTATTCAAAAGTTCTTTTATCTTTGTCAATATAAAAAAGACTGGATAAGTAGAGTAAGACATACCTCAGGATCTGTCTGTGTAAATATGTCCTTATTTGGTATATGCAATAACTTGTAATTTTCAGTTGTATTATCAGCTTCTTGTAGGGTCTCATCGCATTGTGTACCTAAAAATACAAACAACCCAGCACGAATAAAATTGTAGTAATAGCAATAATAATAATAATAAATATGAAGGGATGATATTAAGGAGACAAAAGCCTTGTACAACAAAGACTATGTATTATCTCATCAGAGACAAACAACTCTAGATGTCATTATTAAGTGAGAGTCAATCTTATGATAAAATCTTACTATTAAGAGTTTTGTCAGTTAACGAATTAATAAAAAGTTTATCTATTTGAATGATTAAAAAATAATACTTTGTACCGTATTGATTTTGTTAAACTTCTGATAGATCGTAATACATATACATATATGTTTCTAAACCTGTGTTACTTGCTTAAATGTTTAAAATTATCTTTATAAGTGCTAGAAAACTTAAAACACTAAGTATTTAAAATAGTATAAAGAATATTATAGAGTAGTTGAAACAAGTGGATTATAACACTGCTGCTAAAGATTGATACAAATGCATGAGTACAACAAGTAGATATTATACAAGAAATAGAAATATCCACACACACAAAAAGTGTTTATTTCGTACCAGCTTCTGTATTCAATATTGATTGTTCAATATTTTTTTCTGTACACTATAAAATAAATAAAACCATTAATACATTACCTATATTCATTTAACATAAATAAATGAGAATAGTTATTTGGAAAAATTACAAATGGTCAGATAGCATGTCTACCTGCGAATTGACGGTTTCAGCAAATAAGTATTAAACATAACGTAGTGAGTACCAATCTTAGTTTGAACATAGAGCTTAGGTAAATAAGTTCGGTTACAGTAGAGCAAACAAACCTATTCTTCGTCCTCTGCATATCATAGCATTATCTCATATTTTATCTTCTGATCTCATTGGCTCTTCTCGAACTAATTTATGATCATTTAAGCCAAAATTACTTCAATATTTCAACAGAAGTGTTGTCTTTACTGAAGATGAAGCATTACAGAATTAGATTATCCCTTGATTACGTAACTAACAACTGACGCATCAAATGACTAAAAGCTATGAAATGTAAAATAAGTACTGCAAACAAAGATATAATTGACTTCAGATTTGTCTCTCATTTTTCCTTCTCATTTATTTGAGTGTCTAACCGTACAAAACAAAAAATGTTTTTTTGTAATTCTTTATGTTTACGTTTAAAAAAAGTGAGACCTATTACCGAATTCAAAATATATTTTTGTGATCTAAATGCTTACCAAAATGTACAACAATGAATAATGAACCAATTGAAAGTAAGAAATACATACTAAGTTGCTTATAAACCACGTAAACATAACAAAAAACTCACGAAATCTTCTTGTGCTGCATGTATAGCTTCATAAGCCATAATTTTTGCTTGAAGCTCTATACAATGTTCACACTGCAGTTTGTAGAAAAATAAAATCCCAGAAATAGATTAAAAGACATCTTTGTTACTCATAAAAATTACATTAGTCAAACGAAAATAAAAAAATTAACAAAGAGCAAACAAAAAAGTGATAAAAATGATTTAACTCAACACCAGGTACACATTGATGTATTTGGTTTCCAGCCAAACCACTAATGTAAGGACTAGTGATATCAGCTGGCTGACTACACCTAAATAGGTATAATGGAGTTCGAACCTGTGATACATTGTTTGGAAGCCTAGTCAGTCAATAATACGTAACATAGAACCTGCAAAAAATGTTCTGAACGTCGAACGCCAAAACCACTAACTCAAAGCGTCGAATTCCTACATAAAAAGATAGATAAATAGCTAAATAACGCCTTTTTCGATAGAAAACTGATCACAACATATTTGTTATTTGATAACATTTAGTAGATTAACCATCAACTTGGTTAGTGAATGTTATAAGAAATCCTGCTTGCGTTGCTAGGATAACTCAACAGTGAAGAATGAAATTACATTCAGTTCACATTTTTGATATAACCTTTAAACAACCTTTCAAGGTTTGACGTTTCTTTATTTGATGGGGGGTTCAAGACTGGGAACGTAAATGTTAAATTGATATAGAAAATGATGGAATATATATATATATAGACAGTGATGTAGTCAGTAATTATAAGGTTGCTCATATACACGAAATCTGTCGAAGGACCCACTAACATAAAAACAAATGTGGTCATTTTACTTTAGTGATTGTTTTTAACACGTACAATATTAACTACTGAAGCACTGATAGGGAATGGAGAAATAACTAACGATTTTGAACAAGATGAGGATTTGAATATGCAGAAAGACGTCTAACAGCTATAACAACCTAAATAAGGCGATCACTGTAAATCCTTCGTTATCAGACAGCACTTATTTAATTTCAGGTTTGTTTTGCTCAAAATTAAAATTCTTCAAGGGTCATTAAACATACACATATTTTTAGAAAAGGAAAAAAGGCATTTTGATTTTATTTAGTTATTCGTCCTGCGATTTTTATCCTACTATGATTAATATGAGTGTGATTTTGGATGAGTCGGGTCTGAAAACTAATAAACTACATCCTAATTAGGTTACTAGCGATTAAAACAGAAAATTCATGAAAGGATAATTCAAAGTTCAACAAAATTGTGAAAAAAACTGGGAGAGTTTACGAAATCTTGAATGCTTGTGTAAATGAAACGTTGTCACTGAGATATCCAACAAATCTCCGACCACAACAATACTTTAAAAGCTACCACCAGATATAATAAAACCGGTGATAGTTTACAAAACGATTAAGGTCTTATTATTGAAAAGAACAGAATGTAAGCAACGTCTGCTTATAGTACAATAAAGAAAATGCAGTCTTAAAAAAGTATAGGCAGAAATTTTAACTTACAGGAGATAAAGATGTTTTAACAGGAGCAGGTTTTTCAGTACTAGTTTCAGAGTCACTGGAGTTATTTGTACTCATTTCATTTTCTAGTTGTAAATCACTCTTATTTAAAGACCAGTCATATAACCGAGTTGATCCTGGAGGTAATGTTGGTAGTAAACTACTTGGTTTTTGTGAAGAAGGTTCATTAGAAGTTGAAACCAACTGAAAAAAGGAAGTCCCAATGCGAACAATGCAAAAATCACTTTTATTTGATGAGTTTGTTATAAATAATATAGGAATCGGTAAAAAAAAAGTCACTCTTTTTATCAGAGCAGTGACAGGAAATTAAGATGGAAAGCAAAAGTCTAAACAAAAATATAGATGATCGTCTGAAACTGGATTAAATAAATAATGTCAAAACTTAAGACTAAGAAGTACAGAAGAAATGAATAATTCTGTACCACTGTATATCATATTGAGCGGTCAATTGAGGTACTCTGACAGTAATTATTTTTTACGTGGACCTCAAGTAGGAAGTCAGCACTCAACAACATTGATCACACCAACAGTCCACGAGTTCATGAACTAATAATCCAGCCACCAACTTCCTTACAACCTATTTCAAAGCCAGCCAATATTGCATGTTGTGGTAGGCAGTGTTTAAGCATAGGTAAATAATAATGGATTATTAATAGTCGTTTTAAAAACCCTATCTGAGCCTGCATAAACAATAATAAAGTCTTGTAATCGAATCATCCAGCTTACAAAACATAAGATTATACCAAAAGCCTCTAACTCAGTTATCAATCCTTCCCGTGAGTTTCATAAGTAAATAAAGATAAAAAACCAATGAGCAAAATATACGGTTTTAAATTTATAAATAAACTGACCTCATCTTTTAACTCTAACAATTGAGTTGTTAAACCGGGTTTGTAAAGCTTGTTATCACTGAAAAAAAGAGAAAGGAAACAGCTTATATATATACATATACATAGCGAGAGAGAGAGAGAGAGAGTAAATTTGTTTTTGTCAGAACACCATAACAATACTTCTAACTATAAAATAAATTCCAATGAAAAGAAGCAAACGTTTAGTTTGTCTGTTTGCTGAAATAAAAGAAATAGACTACACAGTCGCAAAGTAAAAAAAAGAAATACAATTTATCTACAGTTAAAACTATACCCGTGTAGTGGAAATTCAATTCGTCAAATTACCCGTACTTTAATAGTTAAAACTTAAAAAATATGAAAGAACGCTTTAATAAACAAGAAGACGTTTTTCAAAACTTTATGTCAAAAAATCTGATAATTTATACATTTTCCATTGATCACTACGTATATTGATTGTTGGACTTAAACAATACAAAATAATGAACAGTCCGATTATGCAAATTGTATATGATGTAAAAAGTAACAACACTTCATCGTATTAGTCTGAAATAACAAGTCAAAAGTCTGAAGTATAAGATGAGTGGGAATATCAGACTGAACAAAACTGAAAATTTGTAGCCTTTCATTGCTTTCACTTTGTGCAGTAGTTCTTTTATTGTAATAATCGTTTATTTTAATGATTGTTAGTCGCAATATTAATTTCAATTTGCTTACCCAAATACAGATTTATATACTCAGCTTTGAGTCAATGGCGTTGCTCCACTGCTTTGTGGATCAAACCTTTAAGTTGAAGCTTCTGGGTGTGTCCCCCTAAGAAAACCATCTGCCTAGGACTGGGTACCCGTGCAGCCCACAGCACGCACAAAAACAAAGTGACTTGGGTGACGCATATGTATTCGGTGCCCCTTTGTACCAATATTTATGTTCAAATAAATAAGTAAATATGGCGAACTGTCATCTGATTTTGCAACCTAAAATGGTGTCCGTCAAGGTTGTCCACTATTTCCATTTCTGTTTAATTTCATCATAGATATACTACTGGAAATCACGTCCACGTCGACTGAACTTTCACGAATTAATCTCCTTCCCGAAGGTCCACTTGTCGACTTAGAATATCCAGATGACAGTTCTGTTTGATGAAGACGCTGATAAGATGCAGAGTGTTTTGGTAGCATTGAGCAATAATGCTAGGATGTTTGGAATGCATTTCTCCCTTTCTAAGAGCAAATTGCTGTTTCAGAACTATTATTATTATTTATTTTATTTTAACACATAGACATTGGTACAAGGAGGCACCAAATACATATGCGCCACACAAACCTCATTCGATATGTGTGTGGTCTGTGATACTGCCCGGGTGCCCAAACCGAAGCAGATGATTTTCTTAGGGGGCCACACCCCGAGCCTTCGATCTGAAGGTATGATCCACAAGGCAGTGAAGCATCGCAAGGAGATGCAGTCCCGTGGAAGCCGGTGACCAGCAATTGGTTCATACGCCATTTGTTCCCGCAGGATACTGGAGCCCATGTGCACCATTGGTTTGGAATCTGGTTAAAACGCCGGACATTCGCTTTTCGTCCTCTCATTTTCGTAAACAACACCCCGCCACGAGAAGGCAGTGAGTAGGACTTCCCTGACAGAGGCTATATACGTGTGACCATGTGAGAGCATTTCGAGAGGGGGAACGGACTCTCCCCACTCTCGGCCGTACCAGGGCATTTGGGGTCTGCGTCAACACCTGTACTAAAGATAGGGAGTGAAGTAGTCGAACGCGTCGACAACTTCACTTATCTCGGAAGTCTGATCAACCCTAATGGGTTGGTGTCTGACGAGATCTCTACACAGATTCAGAAAGCTCGTTTGGATTTTGCCAACTTATGTCACCACCTATGACGAAGGCGAGATATTCGTCAATCGATTAGCGGACGGGTGTACTGTGCAGCAGTTCGTTCTGTGCTACTTTACGGCTGCGAAACGTGGCCATTAAGAGTAGAAGATATTCGCAATGATCACAGATATCTTAGAAATATTGCTCGCATCTGCTGGGATCACCGGGTAAGTAATAGTGGGGTTAGGTCCAGGGTATTAGGGAATGATGGTAAATCAGTTGATGAGGTTGTGAATCTACATCGACTGAGATGGTTGAGCCACGTGTTACGTATGCCTGAACACCGATTACCATGACACGCAGTGCTGATTAGTGTTGAGGCGGTTGGAAGAAAGTTAGGGGTGGCCAAACCAAACAGTCTTGACGGACACCACTTGAGGTTGCAAAAGCAGATGACAGTTCACTATAAGCTCTCACTCGACTAGTAGTGTTCGAGTAAAGAGCCTTCACAAGATTTATGTACTTAAGAGGTACGCCTTTCAATGACAGACACTGCCACAGAACATCACGGTCTACAGAGTCAAATGCTGCTTTTAGGTCAAGAAAGACCACCATTGTCGGACGCCGATAAGTATGCCTGTATTCTAGAACCTGACGAATGGTGAATATGTGGTCAATGAAGCCGCGACCAGGTCTGAAGCCAGCTTGATTCTCTCGTGTTTGCAGTTCACGAGTCTTAGTTAAGCGTCCGACAATTATTGAAGCTAGTATTTTAGATACTATATTAGTTAAACTAATCCCTCTATGGTTGTCACAGGATGATTTTGACCCTCTCTTATATATTCGGACGATCAGTGATTGTAGCCAGTCAGATGGGACTACGTCCAACTCCCAGATTTTAGCTAGAAAATTAGTCAACCTAATCGTTAAATTGAACCACCGTACTTAAAGGCTTCTGGAGCCAGTCCATTTGGACTAGCTGCCCTTCCTCGTTTCAGATTAACTATAGCCTTTTGAACTTCAGCTAGAGTTGGGGGACCTACTCAAATGTCTGGGAATGGTGGGTAGTCGTAGAGTAGCTCACGGCCAGCTGAACTGCTCCTTAAAATGTTCTGCTCATCGTTCTAAACGTCTGGGCTGAGAGCAGGTAAGTGTCGTCTTTTTCTGAGATTGTCGCACTTACACTTGACTTATTAATTCCAGTTTATTTTATTAGTCTGTAGAGCTCTCTTCAGTTACCTACAGTCATCGCCTTTTCCATCTCTTTTGCTTTCGTTGCTCACTACTGCTTACGGTCGTTCCTTAGACTTTTGCTTAACCTAGATCTGATTTGTTTACGCTCTTCATCGTGTTCAGAACCTGATGGTATGAGTTTACGAGAATCCATCAGTGCAATAGACCTAGAAGAAATCCATTGGTTTTTTGTAACCCTTTGGTTTAAATCACTGATAGATGTCACTGCTGTTTCCACAGCTGTTTGTATATCTTTCCAAGCAACATCTGGGTCAGCCTCGTTTTTAAGACTACCTAAGTGTGACCTCACTTGTTCCTGGAACCTACTTTTGGTTTTCTCGCTACTCAATTCAGTTCTAATGGGCCTTTTTAATGTGGCTTTTCTGCGTCTAGTGAGGCGCCTTTTACCATATGAAATCGAGATTCCTGATGAAAAATTAATTTTAATTAAATTAAATTCAACCAAAACCATCTTCGATTTCATTAGTAGAGCGGTGTTTTAATATAGTCCGCTTAACTTACAACTACAGCCGTAGGTTCAAACTCCGCTATACCTGCTTTTGTTTGGGAAACGGGATAATTTAACTAACCCTTACAGTTAGATTGTGTCTCATAGCCAAATACACAAATATTCGCTTGACAAAAGATTTAAGAAATGTACAGTTTTAACATGATAAGTAAATAATAAACAATCATACCTAGTTAAATGCGTGCTATTGTTTATAACTGGTTTTGGAATGTTACTATGTGATAATTGTGAAAGTTGAGCATTTTGACGTAGTAAATCTAGTTCTTGACGAAGTTCCTCCATTTCATCTAATAATCTTAAATAATCCACTTTTGATACGACCTCATTTACTTCTTTTTCTTCTTGTTTTATGTATGGTGTGGCTTTCAAATCACTATTCCATCCTAAAACATCATTTGTTAAATCGGATAGATTAGCACAACTGAATGGAGTAACGACAGTTTCATTTGGCAATGATTTTCTAGGTGTACTAGATAATGCTGGAGACACTGAATCCAATACTTCTCCCACTGGAAAAAAACAAAATCATTAAAAGCAAATTATTTAGAAATATCTAACTTGAAAAAATTAAACATTACAGTATGAATTAAATTAATTAAAATCTATCTATTGCGTAAAGTTTAATTACTGCAACCAAGTAAGTTTAAAGTCATTTATAGGTGATCATTGAAACAAACGGAATGGGTGTATAAATTATTAAGGCGATTAGTTTGTATTTTAAAAGACCAAAAAAATGAAAAAAAACATTAATTTAAAGGATGATAGTAATGATAATAATATTGAATTTTTTGGGTAGAAATATGATTGAATACATCGTATACATTCCTTTCGGTGCACTGAATTAGTGTCGGTATTCAAACAGCCAACACAAATTGACTAAATAATAAAGTAATAATAAACTTTATCTAAAAAAGTTTATAGCGACTATTATTATTGTTATTATTGCCATCATTACCACTACTATTACTAATAGTAGTCGTACAATACGCCTTAATTACAAACTAATTACAGTGAACTTAAATGATATTTATATCTGATTAAAATTGGTGAAGTAAATGCTCTGCGAACATCAAAGAGAAAAGCATGAGCGCACAACAGTATATTGCAAGTAAATGCTTCAATAACTATCAAATAAACTTGAATAATTTCAATTTAAAATAAAACACTAACTGTGATGATAACGCTACAGTAGCTCCTCTTAAAGCACATATATTATGAATTATCTGGGTGAATATAATACTGTAACTCAACAATCATGTATTTTCTGTTTAAATTAAAGTATATGGAGTGAGTTTGGACCTGCAACTAAAACTTAATCATATGCCTTAAATATATATCATGTTGGTAAACCGATATAATGACAAAAGGCAAATAAAAAGATTGGTATCCATAACAAAAATATGTTAGAATATAAGGTCAAAAATAACACCTGCCTTCCTTCAGTCTGATAGTTATAAGGATGTAATTAGAGATAAATTGTTGTCAGTTTGTTGCATGAATAACCTTCAGTAATTTCAATGTCTGTTGTACTTGGTAACGTTGACAGACCAGGAAAATAGGGCTCAGAACAAACAAACTGGTGTATCAAATAATACAAATGAAAATTGTTTTAAATAACAACAAAAACTGTTGTGAATTCTGTTTCTCGAGTATTCACTGATTAGCCATATCACAGAAAAACCTAAGCTCTATACATATGCAATGAAATTATTAATAGTTTTCGTAATGTGAGGGTTTAGTTTTGTAAAACCTCCAAACATTATTTTCATGAATTTTATTACACAATTTGTTTATGCACGCGCCTAAAAGCCGAAAACAGCTATATTTTGAATTAGCACAAAATATCATCTGTAATTTTCTGCATTTACACCACTAAATTAAGATGTTAAGTGACTGAAGGTAGACGATAAGAAACTCTGGACCCATTTTTTTTATACTTGGCAATAGTCAGCAAAGTGTACCAGTATTCTTGCTAAATGAATGACAGAATTCGATTGGTTCTAAGCGAGTTAAACAAACATGGTATCAGTCACTACTTATTGATCGATCAATTCTATTTAAACTAGTTAAAAAAACTTTATTTTCCATGAAGAGCCCGTAGATTTGTTATATGACTAGACTTCAACGTGATTCATGGTACAGTACCCTGTAGAAGTGGCTTATGCTAAGTAAAGAAACACTGAAAATCCAATCTCCCACTTATTTAGGTATTACAAATATATAATTATTTTATTAATAACTTTCTATTAAATTATCAAGTCCAAACCTTAGTATTGATACTATCAATTAAATCTTTACAGTTTCATATTATACACTGTAACATATGAAAACATGCTAAATAAACACTGACAGTTAGATAGTGTTATATACACTAAAGGCAATTCATTAAAACAAAATTGATTTTATGATTTATAGTAAGACGATGCGACTTTTTAGAGAATATCGAACATTCTAACAAAAAACCTACAGGAATAACAGTAACTATAAAATAGTTTGGTTTGGTACTTACGCTTGATGCAACAGACTATTAAGTATGTCAATCGGAAATAACAATATATTCCGGTATTTAAAATGTCACGATTAAGTGGATAATACCTTATTCTAATAGAATCAGATCGATACATACTGACCAATAACAACCATTAACAGATTATGAAAACCAATAAAATTACCTAGAGTAAGTACACGAATGTCATACATGCAAAATGTGAAAATGTTATATTACCAATGAAAGATAACAGACAGCATTCTTTTTTCCATTAAACAATCTTGAAGCTATTAATATATTGAAATGTGAAGGACTTATATTTAAAGCAACAAATTATTTAAATGAAGTGTTCAACATATTAGAAAGCAATTATTTTAATGAACACTCTGATGGATTATACAGTTTACTCTTAAAGTTAGACTTAATTATTAACATGCTTTATTATTTATAATCTAAGCAATAAAATACCGAAGTAAACTGGCTTAAAACAACATTATTAAAGTGATAAAAATTAGATTTCTAGCAAATCAATCAGGAATGATGCGTTGATACTCCTCCCTCGTTATTTTCTGACGACAGAAAAATAAGTTGGGGATTTTATAGTGCTTTATTTCCTGAAATTTGAAACGTGATTTTGAAGCATTCAAACCAGATTATATGTAGCCGTAGGATCAACATATAACGGAGTTAAAATTTGATCTGAATTTCTGAAAGTACATAACTAATGAATATAATACCGAGTGAAAACATTTTTATATCAGAATGACTTATCACCGTGAATTGCTACTTTTTTCTAGTTAGGGAAATGTACAATAAACTTTCGGGTCTCGTAATGTGTATGATAACACTCAGCTGCTAATATGAAATTTTATTCTTAATATGCCCCAACTTCGGTCAATGCGACCTATCAAATAATAATCGTTTGTTTATATCAACGGACATCTATCGTAGCTTACAAAGTGATTATCTAAAATAGCAGATTGAATTTTTATCTCCAACAGCCCATATGTCTAAGACATTCCGTTACGTAAAGCATACTCGTATAGTAAAATATGTTGATACGATAAATGGATAATTGAAAAACTACTTAACGGATGTATGTTGACATACACCGTGAAATTATTTACAACTACTAGTATAATTTCTGTTTGACTTCCGTTTTTATAGTCAGTCAGTAACAACGTAGAACTTCGTACGAACGTACATCAGTTCAAATTGCCATACCACATTAGCACAGAAATCCAGTTGTCCATTCAAATCTCGTAGTGGTAGAGATAGTAAGAATATAAGCAGTAATCGGAAAAATTAGGGTTTGAAGATGTTATTCAAGGAGTAAAATCCAGTGAAATAAATTTGGAAAAAGAAAAAGAGAAACGAGGAGAATTCAGGAGATTAGAATTTGGGAGAACACAAAGAATGGATACCCCTTTTTACCAATAAAACACAATGGTTTTCTATCAAACCATTACTAAATCATACATTGTAACAGTCTGTTTAATGATAAAGCATAATTTTTTCTTCCAGTACTATTTATTCCCTTTAAATAAGCTACTATAGTATTATGCTTTACATCAGCTTAAAATAGAAATAATCAATTAACAGTATCATCAAATCATCTCCACAGGTGATTAAATAAATCATTAAAAAGAAAGAGGTTAAATTTATTAGACAAAATATGATATTGAAATGCTCAGGATATTTAGTAAACTTGAAACTTTAAAATGAATTATACCCTGTAGATAAGGACAAAACAGCAAGAAATATGTATTAGATTATAATAATAAGCTTTTTAACTACAAAAGAAAACAATCAGTTTAATTGACTAGACAAAATATTGAAGCACAATAATATTGAAATTCTACTTTAGTCGATTGATATAAATTTTATCTTAAAAACGTTTTTGTTTAGAATAATCAACGTCTGAAGAAGAAGAAGAAGAAATATAAGTTATAGAACTTGAATAAACAGACTCAATTAATTAGTTTATTGATTTATTCTTAATAGTTTAATTAAGTTTATAGGTAATGGAATAAATGATTAACAGGTAAAATGAAACAAACTTAATATTTGACCCATAATTATATTATTAAAATAAAAAATATTTGACACATAATTTCATGAATGAATTTGGCACAAGATCATTTGAAAAATTTTAAGATAGATGAAATTTTAAAAATATCTACTTTCAATAGAAAGCACTTTGATTATTAGACTGAAGGCTAACAGACTTAACAACTGAAGAACATCTGGAACTCAAAACGATTGTCAACTGCCAACAAAATTTTCAATACAAATGTCAAGACAGTTCTATTGTATGAGGCGGAAACCTGGATAAATACGAAAGCCATCATCCAGAAGATACAAGTTTTTACTAATAGCTGTCTACGTAAAATACTTCGGATCAGTTGGCCAGACATTATCAGCAACAACCTACTATGAGAGAGAACAAACCAGATCCCAGTGGAGGAAGTAATCAGAAAGAAGTGCTGGAAGTGGATAGAATACACATTGAGGAAAGCACCGAACTGCGTCACAACTCAAGCCCTCGCTTTGAATCCTCAAGGCCAAAGGAGGAAAGCAAGACCAGTGAACACATTACGTCGAGAAATGGAGACAGATATGAGAAAAATGAACAAAAATTGGATAGAACTGGAAAGGAAGACCCAGGATAGAGTGGGTTGGATAATGCTGGTTGGCGGCCTATGCTGCATTGGGGGTAACAGTCGTAAGTAAGTAAGTAAATAACAGACTTAAGAAGATTACTGTTCAAATTTTCAGACTACAGGAATTTCAAACTTTGGAGCAAAACAGTTTATCTCATTTGTTGTAATAAGTTATTTTAATTAAAGCTTAAATGATCGCTTTTATTACTTGTAAAATAAAATACGATAACATGAGATCTCATAAGAAACTTCAGATAACTCGAAAACATAATTTAACTTCGAAACACATGAAACCTACTGTTTTTGATGAGTCATATTAATTTATAAAGGGATAGTTTCCATGAGCAATTAAACCTTTCAATGCCTTTTAATGAAAGAATATATTTCGGATCATGTGTAAAATAATAAAGATAAGAATGATTAAAATGAACAGTTTACCGAAAGAAGGCGAACTAGGTGAAGTTACATTATCCATATCCTTGGAGAAAACATTATCTTCCATCGATGATTCCATAGGACATTCTTGATTATGTCGAATATTTGCATCATTATTTGCAGAGATGGAGATTTCTTTTTCGGGCTCTACATTCGATTCTTTATTTCCTACAGGGAGCTCTAGATTATTTTCGCCCAAATCGACAGCAGCCGTCCTTTCGCATAAATGCTTGTCAGTTTCGTCATCTGTGTCTTCATCCAATGAATCGAAATCGTCATAAGAAAAGGCAGTCAATGTTGTGTAATTTCTAGAATGATTCTGTCAAAAATGAGGCATGGATCAATATGCAAGTTAATGCTAAACAAGCATTTGGTACAAAAATGTCAATACATAAAGTAGTTACCTCGTGTTTCAATAGAAAGTTTAGTGTGAAACTGAATAGCGTCAGAACGATAGTAAAATATGTAAGTGAAATACACTATGCCACTATCCCTTGGTTATGTAAGATTTACGAACGAATTGATTTACGTTTTTCGTAAAATACTACATAAGTTTTGAGAACATAATTACAAGTGATTTACTAGGAACCAGGCGACAAACTTGGGATTACACCAGTCAACAATCACGCATCATACGACAGATATGCTACTAGTCAACCAGTGCACTCTTAGTTCGCTTGATAATAATGAAATAACTGATGCTTAAGCATAAACTACACAAATTGACAGTTATACCTAAAATCATATTTATTTGCGTTACAAATACTACAGGTTGTACAATGTTACCATTCATTGTATTCAAAAACGTTTCAGTAAAAATACTTAGTGAGAAAAGTAGTAAATGATTAGAAAATTAAAAATTTTACTGATTTACCTGTAGAGGTTTCTTGAAAGCTAAAGACATGAAAGGTTGGCTTGGATTTGAAATAACATTCTGTTGACTAAGAACCCCTGGTTCTTTTGAGTGAGTTTGTTTATCCTTTTCACTCACAGGTTTGCATGAATTAACGCTACGTGTGGCAGCAATAACTGCACGTTCCGCTGCTCGAACACGTTCTTTGGCTTCCACAAGTTCTGCATCCCGACTATTACGCAACTCATTCATCTGAGCTTCTAGCAACCTTTTACTAAGTACAAGCTCTGTAACTGAAACGAAACACAAAATGGAATCAAACTTCAAACACGTTATGTATGTAATGTAGTAGTAAGATATTTAAGAATGAAACAATAAAGGAAAGTATCAAAAGACATAAGCATACAAGAGTCTAAGTTGAAAAAACAGGTCGAATCAGCTTGTTTCAAATAAAGAACAGTGTATGATGGGTTGCATGTTTTATAGTAAACAATTAGTAGCTGTTTTAAAAACATTACTTTTCAAGTGTTGAGTATCAAAATGACTCCAAATAAGGCTATTGTGTAACTAAAACTATTTGTTACCGGAAATCTATCAAAATTATACGATAAATGTGACTTTCTTCCAGGAATAAAATAAGTGCTAAGTGAAAGGAATATTGATGACGTGTTTTGTATTATTAGCATTAGAAAAAGATATAACCCGGAGAGTCGACTATATTTGGCAAAACCATTCCACTTATTTTTGGAGTTTCATCAGTCCTAGTGGGCTGGTAGTGGATAAAATCGAGACATGGTTCCAAAAATCTCGTTTGGCTCTTTCTAACTTACACCATCGGTACTTCGAAAGTGTTCATCTTTCTATTGAAGAGTGGGTGTATTTTGCAGTGCTTCACCTTGTTCATTTTATGACTGTGAAACGAGGTCTATGAAAGCAGAAGGCATTTAAACGAGCAACTCAGTTGAAAAAGTCATAAATCTTTATCGATTGATGCGGCTAGGATAGATTTTATGAATGCCTAACCATCCAGTACCACGACATGCGATGCCGGTTACCTCTGGAATACGTTGGATTAAGCTAAGACTGTACAGGTCAAATTATAGCAGAGAACGACTAAGTCACTGAGTGCTTATTTGAGGGATACAAGAAGCCACAGACGTTCTTATTAAACTCACAGAATGGTCGTGATGCGTGGTTGGAGTAGTTGAGTGATACAGCTCAAAACCGGCCGAAGTAGGGCTGAAGTAGTTGTTCTATGTCTTCATTTAGGTATTATTACTAAATTTGCACTCTCAAACTTTTTTGCTCCATATATTGTTGATTCTCTTTTTCTACGTTCTTATATGAAGCATGACAACCTGGACAAATATATAGTTATCAAGTCATACGGACAAAACTTATGAAAATGAGAACATAAAAACATTAACGACAGATCTTTCCACTTAGTCGAAAAGCACCACCTATCCACTGCAATCCGTTAACGTCAGGTTGTAGTGAATGACAATATCGAGAATGCCAGGGTGGCGAGTTAATACCTGGACCTGAGTAATTCAGTCTAACAAGTTACGGTAGAATTCCGAACATTGTTGATAATTAAATACCAATGAAACAGATGAATTAGTTATTTCTACAAAAAGGACTGTGACGCTTGCAAGTCATTGAAAATGATACCGCTATTCCATATTATCGATTAGAAACAGGATAAGTCAAAGTATTAGACATAGTAACCCATACAGTTTCGAAAAAATTAGTTATTACGAAGAAAACAGACTTTTCAGTTTACTAAAATGAAATAATAGGAACTTATGGACATACCAAAACCTCTCATACAGAGATGTTTCTACAAAGTGAAACAATTAAGTTTCGAAATAAAATTTCTGGTAATCATTTCGAAAACCTGTAAAAGTAAAAGGGGTAATAACTACGGACCTCTAGTTGTCACGCTTCTGAAGTTATCAACAAATAGAGAAACGGTGACATTTTAACAAAGATCCTTAATTTGAAAAGATGAACTATCTCTGATTATCTTTACAGACTCTAAGTGAGATTTCCAGAAAAAAGACTTACTCTGTTCATCCGCCGCCTGTAAAGCTGCATGCAGACGTCGGTTATTTTCGGTGGCTCGTTCCAAGCGAAAATGGACTTCAGACATGCATTCCGAATCTTCTAATTCCGAACGAATTTGTTGCAGTGCTTCTAACTCAACAGAAAGATTTGCCTTCAGCTGTAATGCACTCTGTATTTCTTCCAAAAGTTCTAATGTCAAGAAGAAAACAAAAAGATTTATACGAACTTGTGGCAAGTGGTTAACAACAACCAACAGATTTTTTATTCAAAATTACGCAAACAAATAACCGCGTATGCGCGAAGAGCCATAATTATAGCTTACACTGTTACTGGCTAGCGAAAAAGCATTATTTGATTATCAGAACTTCCAAATAGGGTAGGTTTCGTTTCCATGACCCAAAGGTTACCTGGAATCCCTATGCTTAAATGCAATCTCATATCATCAAACTTGAGGATGGCGACAGATCTGGTTCCCAACATACATGTTATGTACACGAGAGTATCAGATTCCCCCTGTAGTTAGGATACCCAAATCCTAAACGTTTCAGCATTTTGAATGAGCATGTGATCATGATGCTTTCATATCAAGAGATATGAAACTCTCCGACTAGAAAACGCATAAAGGTGAAACCTTACGTACATAAATACAAACTTCAATTGAGAATGTGACATACCGTTGTACGACGGCTGTCTTATGTCCCCAGACCTTGGTCTAGATGTGTTCGTAATACCGTAGTTTTCTCCGCTACATAATCCAGAAAACCGACGCTGTAAAGCGGAATACTTTTCTTCGTATCTTCTGCTCCACTCCGACAAAACCTGAGACAAACTAGTATCTTTTCCCGCAGATAGTTCATGATAGACCACCTCCATGGAACCAGCTGTTTTCGAGACGATGAGTGAAGCGCTGTACTCAAGGACTAGTTTCGATGCTCAATTCGTTACAAGCATGGACTGTAGAGCTTACGTCAATTCTTGACATAAGAACTTAGTAACAATTGCTGTGAAGCCTTAGATTGGTTAACACTCAGCTTCACTTTTAGTTCGACGGCACACTATTAGAAAAGTTTTCTATGCTACTCACGATGATAAAGGTACACAGCAAATCCATCTTACTTAAGCACACGTCACCGTGTAGAGCAACAACCTGTATTCTCGAAAGCGCGCCTACTAGCTCCCGAAAAATTGAGGTTTGCTGAAAATGAATTCAACCACATGATAGATTCAGGAATCATTCGGCCTTCTAACAGCCCATAGGCATCGTCCTTGTATATGGTTCCTAAAATAGAGAGTAGACACTGATGACTATCAGCGACTGAGTGCAAAAACCATTCCTGATCGTTACCTGTTCCCCCTCACTCATGATTCGACAGCTACAGTGAAAGATGTGACTGTTTTTTCGAAGATCTACTGGGTTAAGGCATATAACCGAATTCCCATAACTGCTGTCCTCATATCTTTTGGAAACTACAAGCTTTTTCATACAAATTTCTGCTTAAGAAATGCTGCACAAACTTTCCAAGGGTTTATTGATGACGTTTTTGAGGCCTCGACTCTGTGCATGCGTATTTTGATTCGCATGTTCGGACAGAGTATCTCATGGCCAGCTACTGGATCTTGTCTTCGAACGACTACAAAACACGGCATTACGGTAATCATTCAGAAATGTCAAATCAGCACCAATTTTGTAGGTTTTTCTGAACACGCTATTGCTGCTTAAGATATCCGACATCTAAAAAGAAAATTGGCAGCCATCCTGGATTACCTAGAACCGACCACCATTAGGCGATTGCTCACGTTTTACGGCACATTCAACCTAAGACATGCTAACTTGGACTTTTACACTACGACTTTATGGCTGGTATCAGATGAAAGAAACCGGACAGTGTGAGATATGTTTATTAGTTTTCTTAAAACTACTCTCTTGATGCACTTTCCGTTCTAATAAACATCCTTCGTTATTCCAACCTTGGTAAATATCAAAACTCATTGTCCTTTATTGCTGCATTTCGCTCATCTGGAGCCTCTGATCACATTTCATTCTAGCAACAAAAGTTAGTGTAAATTTATCATACCTCTGTCTGTTCCACAACGAAATTTTAATCACCGTTTAGCGCTCATATCCAAGTGCCTTGTTGCTCTTTTTTGGAATCTCTATCTCTAAGTGATAAACTATGGGAAATTTGAAACTCGAAACAGAATTGACGTATGCATTTTCCCTGGGTCATAGTTCACACCAAGTGTTCAACAAATATATTTTATAACAACTGTTAACACCAAATATTTTATTGCATAAATAATCAGCACGAACAGTATTCCAACAAAATTATACCGAGATTGGATCTGGTGTGTAACGTGGACGCGATGCCACTTTGGAAAAGATTTTGAATACTGTGCTAAGTATAACAGTAAAGCATAAACCTAATCATTAACACTCCAAAATATCTGCACGAATTACCTGTTATTTACTTATTTATTATATTAATCTAACGACCCTACTTCAAAAGCATACCGAGAAAATTAATGTTGCATTTTGTAGATCATGAATATAAGAATGGCGTGTTTCAGATCTGGCAGAAATATATTATTATTATTACTGACATAACAAAGGTTATTAAGGTGACTATTTAACGAGGCTAAGCTGCAACAATATGGGAACAACGAAGCGTCGATTCTGTTAGGAGTGTAGTGTAGTAGTATTGGTCATAACCACACAATCCTCAAGTCTGAACAAGGGATAACTGGGAACATAGATATCCAGAACTTAACAGGTTGGACTTCATAATTTTAGGACTAGATCTATCATTACAGTACTACTAATAACGAAATAGATTATAACTCTGCAAATCATCTCAAAGATAGTTCATTTAATTGTGCGTGTAGCGGTTAGTAAATTGCCGAAATAAGTAGTTTTTAAGTCTTCAACATAAATGGAGACTTCATTAGATGCAAAGGACACACTCTAGCTGAAGGCACACGACCGCACATCTGCACCAGATCACGGGCGGGTACGCCGTGGTACGCATCCCTTGCAACTGCTAGTCAGTTTAAACCAGAGGCTTCTCGACGTATAGATAGCTCACAAAATATATTTTCGAACCCCGCCTTATAATTAGTTAAGTAGTGTTGTTTTCCTTTTATCTTCAATCATTACAGATGATTACAGTATGTTTCGTTATCAGCTGCTCATTCAGTACATAGCTAAAAACCATGTCATTCTAATTGGAAGTTTAGCGACACAATCATGCATGCAAATCATCAGTGTAAGTAGTCGAGCCAATCTCCTGCAAACTAAAAGCATGACTGTCCAATTTACCCCAAAACTGGCTAAGAATCAAGCCATTATCACAGACATGAGTTGAGTGTCTACTTCCCTGGGTTACAACTTATTGTCTCCCTGATAATCACACGAGCATCACTCACTGTTAATCATCTTGTAAAAACTTATTTAGCCGAAGATATCTTGCAGCACCGCATCACCTATAACTGCGGCACATAGGCTTAGCTAATTTCAACCACTTATCCCTATCTCTGTTAAATCGTATTCCGTTTTATGATAAACTGCATACATGCAACTAACTTGTATGCACCATCAACTGGTAGGTATAAATTTAAATAAATAATCTATGGCAAGTCAGAACATTGAGTCTGGAGGAGGTCTCTCGCGAATACACTCATGTTTAACTATTTGTTCTTATCTATCTGTTCAAAATTCACATAATTATCACTGTTCACGTACTAAAACGTTTCTTATAACCATTCATGTGTATTAGTAATATTAATAAATTCTGTCACGGTCAAGTAAAAATGAGGTCGAGAAAATCTCCCTGTAACTAAATAAACCGTATCAAACTGACTGGGAAAATAGTTTGAATTCTTCTCCCAAGTAATAATTTTTTTCTTTCGGTTAGCCTACTAATGCAGATGCAGTTGGAAATCAAAATATATGGACAGCTAAACGGCATAAACGTTATGTGTCTTCAAAGTTTTCAAAGATTTCTTCAATATTAATTGTTTTTAGTATTTCTAAACGCAAAATACTTAGTACCTATAAATTAGGTTCTTAACCAACGGCTATTATTACGCATCTTACGACGACTTATTAAAATATCCCTACATGGAATCATTTTATCACTATTATGGTCCCACGTTTTAGCCCAAATAATCTTAAATTTCATTTTAAGCGTGTTAAGCATCAAACCAGACATTAAAAAATTTCACCGTGTATATCCCGACCAGACGGTGCCACTTTTTTCTGATATAATTTTCAGCTCATCAATTCCCGGGGGATTTACATTAATCTTGATAAACTCCGGCGCGCGACAATCCCACTAAATTTGGTACCAAACCAACGTCACATTGATTCTGGTGAGAGAGTAATGCAGTATCATTGTGCCCTAACCACACAATCCTTAATGCTCAACACGAGACACTTGGGAAAATAGATCTTCAACATTTGACGCGGAGAAAAGCTCAACGATAGGAAGGCGGGAACAATGAATTGAACTAATATAAATTGATAGCACACTATGCGTGTTAGGTCACGGGTTTTCGCGCACATGTAACATATTGTTGTAGATTTTATGTGTCGTTATTTATCTGCTATTAACAGCCTTTTTTCATCATACTTGACTTCTCGTAATCTTTGTGATTAGAAGATAGTTTTTATTTCAATTTATAAGCAATTTGACGTATTTCGTGCTCACCACCTAAGTAAATATGTAGTTGGCGTGGCTCAGCCTCGCAGGCATGATCGCTCTAGCCTAAGTGTGTTCTCCATCACATATTGGTACTTTCAACAGTACGATGAGTCAATGTGGACAATGGTGTGACTTCCACACAAGATCTTATATACTAGGCAGTTAGCATTAGGTCTATTGCTAAAGCAGTATCATAATGGACCGTGTTACTACATCCTCACTAGTGATGTTTCAGAACCTTACGACACTTTGGAGAAGACTATCCTCGAACGTGTAAACCTAACCTACCGACGACGGTTTGATCAGCTTTGCCACAGCATCGAATTGCAACACGTCTCAGGGACGAAAATGTTGCTGCCAATGTGGGTGGTCACTGGTAGACAGATGCTTGACGACAATACATTTGGATAGCTCTTCTTGTTTGGACTTCATCAACTGGTGTGAGCAGTTCCTATCTTGGCTGCATTTACAGACCGTATTTTGGAGACCACCAGAAACCCCGGCACCGAGGTTTATTCTGTCGAAGAAAAGCCACACAAAATGACATTACAGACCTCTGCTGTACCCTCAATCGTTATCTCTATATTCGTCCTAATCTCAGACGCTCTCAAGTTCCTCAAAAAAGCTCGTCACGAGAATGTCTCAAGAGGCAGATAATCCTAATTGGTGCTGGTACTGCAATAAATATGATAAACTTTAGAAATTCCAGGAAACCTTGTAGTTTCTCAATCTCCAAAATGTCTGACAATAAAAGACCTACGGGACATTTCCATGCCAGCACGCCTTAACGGCAAACGCGACTGGTAGACACAGCTTACTGTTAGACATCTCTGGTGTGATGACGAAAATTCACTATCTCTTCGACACTGGTAGAGAAGTTAGCGTTCTTCCCGAGAGTATCAGCAACTGTCCGCGTGAGCCGACCCTTAACTTACAAAAGACGTGTGGAAAACCGATTGTCGCTTACGGTAGGTGACATGTTTAACTTAACATGGGTTTACGCAAACTCTTTCTTTTGATTTTTTTCGTAACAGGAGTTCCTACACCAATCATTGTTATAGACCTTCTATAATGCCATGACCTATTCATCGACCAGCGTGAATGTAGCTTAGTCAATGATAGAACTAAATTAGTTGTTTGTGAAGGTTTATAGCTGTTCAATGTCAGACAAATTACCCACCAATACTATCAACTTTACAAGTACCCTGAAC